TGCTGAGCTTTCCACCAGAAGACCACAGGAACCTGCTTCGCTTATAATTATGTGATTCCTGTTGTTCTGCTGATCGGTGAGATCAGCCTCTCAGGTGAGTAACAATCAACCAGGAACCTGCACCAGGACCACGGGCGGTAGTGTGTGGGTGTGTGTGTGTGTGTGCATTAGGTGTGGTGACATCTGCGAGGCTATGAAACAATCCTAAGAGTGCCCTGTTGATGTCTGAATTTAAAGGGAGCCGGCATGAACTTGCTACTGAAAATCTGTATAGGCTCACTCAGACTTCGTGTCCCAGACCTCCTGTTTAGCAGCTGATGTCTGCTCACGTGGGGCTAAAGTCAAGAGTTGTCTTCTACCATTCCTCCCTGTCGTGTCAATGTTTGGCATCCAGATGGTTGCAGATGCGAAAGAGAGGACATTGGCCACAGAGGTTGACCAAGGGTGCAAAACAGGGTGTGCAAAACATGGTGCAAACCGTCCAAAGCAAACCACCAAACATGGTCCAATTTGGACGAAGATCCTCTGCTTTCGACTCCTCGTCTCCTCGGTTCGACTCCTTTGAACCCGTTTCCCTCGAGACGTGGAGACGTGGGCGCGGACAGGTGGCGGAGCGAGCGAGCTCGTGACGGAACGTGACGCTTTTCGGTGCAATTTCTGAGTGCATTTGGGCCGTGCAGCTGACAACCCCAAGTTCAGCTGATCTTCTCTTCTGCATTTGCAAGCTTTGTCGTTCCACTTTTAAGTCATCAAAGACCACGTGACGGACATCTCAAAAGGAGCATGGTCATCCTCCAAAACATGCGTTCCTCATTCCTTGCGCATCCGGCATCCCCACATATGTATATTATATATTATTATATATATATATATCCTGTACATACTATAAATATTCTTTGGCATTGGTTGGTGCCACCAGGTCTGAGCGTGGCTCCCGTATTGCGAGGGATAGTCAATCATCTGAGAGTCCGTGGGGAAACTGGGAGAAGCTCTCGGCAACCACCCAGTCCAAATACAACACGTCCGAGCCACAAAGCCTGGCTGCCCAAGAAGTATAGTGGTCCCTAAGTAGATAGAAACGGTGTCCAATATGCAGTATGCTTTTTTAATAGGGATCGACTTTTCTATCTATTTGGGAGGTCAAAAAAGGTGGGATCGGAAAGCTCCCTCGACGGGATGGTTCCGAGGTCGGTCAGTGAGTTCAATGGCATAGGTCCTCATCCGGAGAATCACCAGCAATCCCTTCGCCTTATCCTTGTGCTACAGATCCCTTTCTGGGGAGGCCCATCATCTCAGATCCAGCACAAGTGGTAGCAGTCATGTCCAGTACTCACTGTTTCGGGTTGAGGAGTTGACCAACTAAATCCAATCATCCCAAATTTGTCCATGGGTAACCTAGAGGTGCCACACTCAAAGCTGGAGTCGCACTGAGGGAGCGGTATACAACTTTGGGCCTTCCAGGTCAAACTTCCAAAACTCCCCAAAATGGAATCTGTTGAGTTGAATCATGTTGAATCTATTGAACCTTCACTCCGGTAAAAAATGAATTGATCATGAATGGATATGGTGCATGTATTAAGTATATGTGGTTATTCAGGGCTCCCATTTGGAGGTGAATCTTCAGCCGCTCGGTGGCCGCGGGGCACGCGCGGCAAGACCATGCCGTAGGCCCACCCGGTGCGCGGCGGCAGTGGACCAGGAGAGGGGTTCCTCGCCCAGACCTTGCCCAGCGTTGAAGCGGTCTCGGTTGCTGAGACACACGGTATCTGAGACACACTGCAACAAGAGACTGAGCAAAGGATCACAACATCACGGGAACTCCGGCAATGTTTCTGTCACTGGAGGCGTTGTAGGAAGGAAAGACCCAAAGGAGCCCAGAATAGTGGAAGGACTGGGCTAGTGTTCACATGTGGTCTGCTGATTGAAAGTGCTGCTAGAAGGGGTGCTTACATCATGGTAGCCCCCATACACCTTGCTTCCAGCTTCAAGAGAACTGACGGAATTGTCAGACAGCAATCCTTGAATGTGCCTGTTGTTCTAATACCTGCAACTCGGAGCTTTGCATGAACAATATCCTGCATGATTTTGAGTTGCCAGAATGACCCTCCGCACAGATCCTCCAACCGTTTCAGACCGGTGGAAAGCCGACCGTTTCAGCGGAAAGAGAGGTTGGTGGTCAACATGTTGATCGAAGATCTTCTAACAGCATTTCTGTTTGGACAACAGTGTTGTCTGTGCGACTGTGCTGTCGTTTGGACATCGCGGGGATGAAAAAGAAAAAAAGACCAAGCCGAGCGGGCGCTTGCGCTTGCGACACCAGTGGGCCCAGTGGGCCCCAAGCAGTGTAACGTGTTTGACCCATCCATTTCAGGAGAAAGAAAGGGTTACGCGCACATGTTTGTTCAAAAGAAAAAGTTCTACCACCCAGGAGATAGAGAGAGGAGAGCCATCCATCCTACTAGTAACAAGTGCATCGCTACTAGTACGTAGTAATGCCCTTGTTGCTAGTAGTAAGGCCAGGAACTATATAGTAGTGTCCTTGCTCCTAGTAGCGATGCCCTTTGTTACTAGTAGCCAAAAAGCCCACTGCCGCTTCGTGCCACTTCGCCTGCCTGGCCTGAGTCCCACCGACCTGATCTCCAAACCACCAGCCACTGAAGTCAGCACCATCCTTGGGACCCGTCGGACATGGCAGAGACGGTGCCACTGTGGTGCGGTTGTGGTGTTGGGCACAATCGAGGGAACAGTGGATGAACATGCGCATCATGGTCAAGGATGATAGTGAGTCTCCCAACATGGTGGAGAATGTCCTGCAGGGAGGTGGTGGACCAGTCTTACCTTCAGGCCCTACAAGCACGTTCCTGCACCATTCAGGCACATTCCACTATATAGTGATTCATGACTGTAGTCAATTACTCTTTGGCACAACCACGCACAAAAACCAACCACTAAGAGACTAGCCACTTTCATACCGACGAGGGTTGCCCCAAAGCTCCCTTCTGTTGGTATACATACTACGGTTTACAGACCATGCGGGCATTGCAATTGACGGCATTTCTATGGCGCATCCCTTCCAAGGGCAACTTCGAACTGTTCCTCCAACCAAGTCGACTGTGCCCACAATTCCATGGGCTTCTAAGGACACTCTCCCTGGTCTGTGATGGCGGCTTAACCCGAAGCGGTCGAGCCAGTGACCAAGTTGGAAGATCTGCCGATCGGTCAGACCGAACAGCACAACAAACCTCGCTTTAAGGAGTAACAAGGGCATCGCTACTACTAGCTAGAAGCTGCTAGTAGCTCCTGGCATTACTACTAGGAACAAGAAGCTACCAGCAACTGGGACAGTGGGGCCCAAAATCTGCTGGATTTTGGAGCCTTCTGGTGTCGGATTGGTTTCCAAATGGCCTGCATGGATGACATTGGGCGGTCTCTACGGAGTCTCGACATATTTACACATAGTCCAACCTGGAACTCAAAGAAATGTGCAGCCTCTCGCCAACACGGGAAACGGCCTGTTGTCATTCCGTGTTGGTGAGAAGGAGATAACATGTGCTCCTTCTGCCCAGCCACGCGATTGTCCCAGAAGTACAGGAAGACCTGACAAGACAGGAAGCAACGCGAGCTTGTCTTACTCAGTGACAGGCTCGGTGTCTTTTTCCCGTCAAATCTGGTTAAACCGGAGAAGACCGGCTGAAACACACCAAATCCTGTTGATCTACCCTTCTGAGGGGCTCCAGCATCAAATCCACCGCCGGAGCCCATCTCTTTCACGGCAAAGGTCAACAAAATGTAGTGATACGCAGTAAGCCCTAGACTCTAGACTAGTTCACCCTGATTTCCTGCCGTATTCTTGCACCGCTTGGTGAGACACCTAACCAAAACACAAGCAAACAAACAACAAACGAAAATTAAACAAAAAAAGAACGACCAACAGACCAACCAACAAACCAACACACACACACATACTCACACGCGCGGGCGCAAAAACAGAATTCACGTATGAAGAGACATCATGTGTTTTTCTCATGAAATATCTCCGCACTCACATCATGGTGGGATAGCAGAGCGCAGAGCAGGTCGTTCTTCTCTTGAGAACGCCATCCACTTTTTGGAGAATCTGTACACATGCACCTTCGAGCTGCTGTCAGTTCGAAGCAGAGTGTGCTCCCGGCTCCCGGCCAGTCAAACACCCCCACACACCCGAAGACTGGAGTCGCCACCTTCGAGGCCACTTTCACCGTGCGGATGTGAGGGCTTGTGAAGCACCCTGCAGACAGACCACATGGTGCCAAGTGCCCCATGTGAGAAACAGGCGACAGTGGGTCAAAACTGAGCACAACGAGAACCAGGGGACTGATTCTCGCATCCCTCCAAGCTGATTCTGCTCGTGTCGGGTACTGGTTTTGACCATATCAAGCCCAGCGGACCTTGGCAGTGAGAGTTGGCAAGGCCAAGCTCTCAGTCTTCCCACAGAAGAAGCACTGCCAAGGCGGATGGAACCAGGTTCTTCAAAGCTCAGAACTCCGCACGACTACTACAATCTTAAATGGGATGGAATGCCTCAAAAAGGAGCGCTTTCAAAAACCAGCGTTTGACCAGGTTCCACCGCTTTACCAACTGGAGAATGATCATGAGCCAAGCTGTACACTTCTAAGAAACATGGATCTCTATGATCACTATATACGTATGCATAGAAAACTATGCATCGGGCTGCAGCTCCAAAATCTGAACCATCCAACACTCTAACCGGAAGGCAACAGCTTCACTCTCCAAAAAAATGATTTGTCAGCTTCTTTCCTTCAGCTACCCCCAAAAAGAGCAAAAATAAAGAGGGCATCCGTGGATTGGGGGTCCTGGATTTCAGATGCCGCGTCTAAAGTCGCGTCGCGGAATGCCGCAAACATCGCGGGGGATGACACCGCGGAACGCCGCCCGAGATCGCACATCCCCATCGCGGATCCACGAGGCGAGGCGGAAGATGGACCGCTGCTTAACGTCTCTCAGAGCCCAAGGATTGGCAGGATGGCCGAGTAGGTGCCGAAGACGAAGAGGAAGAGGCCCAAAGCCAAGAAGGAAACACTAAAGAGGATCTCCCGGCTGAACCAGGAGAAGTTCTTCTCATCCTGGAGGACATAGATTGGACTACTATCATGTCACAAATTTAAAGCTGCCACAGTTGAACTTTGGAATTCTTTAGAGGACAAGCTCGTCCTTGTGCTGCTATGCTTGAAAAAGGGGGCAACTGCGGAGGGTTTCAAAAATGTCAGGAGTGTTGACTTGGAGACGTTTGGGATACTCAAGCAACTCCAAGACCTCAAACACAAGGTCGACAAATATCCCTTTGCGTCTCCTAGTTCGAGAGCTTCTTATGAGCGGATAGAAAAATTGTTTAGGTCAAGCCGGTCAAGCCCATACTTTGAATAAAGCAGCGATGGCAGGACTTTGACAACAGCGTAAGGTTTATTGCTACCCCAGTTTCAATTTGCAGCACATTTGCAGCATGTGCCTCGACTTTTGAAGTATATAAGAATCTTTTGAGGTTGCCAAACGCCGACCTTCACCTGGCTGCTCCGCGCACAACCCGGTGCAAAACACCATCCGCGCTTGACACGCGGCTGCGCGCATCCTGTCCTTGCGCCGGAGCGCGATGATCCACATGGGAGGCACCATGAAACCTCAGAGCGTCATGAGACTCCCAGTGCAAAGCTAAATTTGTGCCTTTTAGCGGGTCCGCTTTTTCAAGGGACTTCACTAAGTCTAAGCATCTTGTACATCCTGGTGAATTAGTCCTTGGGGTTCTTCGAGCAGGAACATCGAAAATCCAAGGAACAGCCTACCCCACCCTGACCACCCAGACCCTCTCGCCCACCACACGCCCCAGCCACTGATGTAGGCAGCACCAAAGGCCCCGATGAAGTCCAGCATGGCCCGGAGGCTGGTAATAACCTTCACTGAATAGGAACATGGTGGAAACGAATGCTCTTTTTTCTAAGATAGAACCCCAACAGTAAACTGTTTGGGGAATGACTTCACTTGCCAACTACCATGGTGAAGCTGGAACCAAAACGATGCAAAAATATCCTAAATCACCTCATCCAGGTGACCACCGCGATGAGGACCACCAGGCAGACCGAGCCCAAGGCACAGAAAATGTCGTACCACCGCGTCAAGCTACGTCCGAAGTAGACCACGTCCTCAGCCAAATCATGCCAGGGGAAAGTGAACGGGCAACAAGATTCGAAAGGCTGCAACAACACAAAAACAGCATGTCACCTCCTCCAACGATGCGGATTGTCTTAGTGTTCAAGTGGGTGTGTCTTAGCCTTAGAGGTCGCAACCAAACACCTGGGAAAGGTCTAAGACTGTCTTGAGAAGAATAATGAAAAATGGATAGACAATAAAAGCCATTGGTTGGCTGTGTCCCCCATGACCACAGGGCCGTTTTCCATCTCACGCCTCCTAGCTTCTGTCTTCTCATCGTCGGAGCTGCGACCGCGGGCCTTGCGCACCAGATACGCCAAGAACTGCCGGACGGGATAGATGTGGAATTGGAAGCCTCAAAGTCAGGCAGTCGCATGAGGAATCGATCTGTACGTGAGGCAAGTCGATCTGTACACACGCAAAGTATCAACGTCAGGCAGTGGGACTCCACCGAAACTCAGGCTCATGAGGAGTCAAGAGTGAAGCGTCACGAGCCAACGCGTGAAAAGCGGATGGTTTACTACTTTACTACCTGAATCACTCAAGAACAGTCGTCAAGATGCCAGGCCAATTGGAAACAACTACTTGCATCTCTTGATGCTCGTCAGGAAACAGCACATCGGGAGTTGGAAGCCTTTGACTCAGGAGTTATCAAGAGGTGTTCGAACTGCCAGTGGAAGGTCTGAAGATGAAATTCCAAGTCCTTTAGTATCTCTGCAAGCAAACAAGGTCAACAAGGTTCCTGCTCAGCAATTGGTGGTGGGCAAGAAGCCACGGAAAGGCAGTTCTCAGGCATGCATGCGGAGGTGTCTCAAAAAAATGATGAATAGCAATCAAACAAGTGGAACGAGCATGCATTGCAAGAACCATTATAGCCATGTCTGGAATGCCCAATAGTTCATGCCCCATGCATATCCCAATGCGAGATGGTGACATGGGTGTGTCTTTATATAATAGGGAGACCACTCACCAATGGGTTATGAATGGTTTTGGTCTATGTTCCTTCTTCCAGAGAGTCTTTGGGAGGTCTCCCTATTTTGATACACATCCACATCACGACTCATCACACATCACACCCCTCATTCCTTAGCCTGCTGGGAACCAACCCAGACTCCGATGTGTCACCCTGCCAGGCCACAGGTGAGGACGCTGAACATCACTGCAATCAGCGAGATCAGGACGTGGATCTCCTTCGGTGGGACAGGTCAAAGAGATCAAGTACAAACGGAGGAAAATAGACAACTGTACGAATTCGACTGGTTTTTGGATGTGAACGATGTCTGGAAAGGGTCGACATCAAAGCGGCTATATATGAGCTTCTGCCAAACTGTCAAGTAGAGGACATACTTCAGCAAGGTTGTCGCTTTTGAGGGGAGCCTATCGCTTTTGCAGGTTTTAGCCACAATGTCAACATGGCTGATCTTATCCAAAAGCTGTGGAAATAAGTTTATCGGAGTTTATCGCTTTTGAGGGGGGCCTATCGCTTTTGCAGGTTTTAGTGCAATTCCTGAAAATCATGACCGCTCTTTACTAAATTAGTCATTGCATGCTTTGGCGGTTGCTCATATAAGTCCTGCCACGTGTAGTCAGACATGCGGCTGTCTGTGTGTTCTTGCAATAACTACACGTGGATCTCCTTCAGTCCGGTGGGACAGGTCAAAGAGATTGTGTACGAAAACAGGAAAATAGAGGAACTAGGACAAGGACAAACTCTACTACAGTAGAGCTTCGAGAAGTAGCCTATAATTTGTCGCCCTGGGCTTTCTCTTCCTTTCGTGTTCCTCCAAATTCTGGGATTGATATTCCACCGTGCGGATTCTTAGTCAGTGGGATACCATCCAGACTCAACAAGTGCTGCTCGTATGCGGCCCTTCCTGATCAGAAAATACCCACTAAAATCCGCGCCACTGCCACATACCCATTGGCTGACAAGTCATTCATTTTGCAGAAATCTTAACGAGCCAACCGAATGTCAAAAAGGAATGAGAAGCAGCAAGGCAAAGGTGGACAATTTGTCTTAAACTACATGAAGCAGGTGCTTCAGCAACGTAATTCGGAATTCAAGCACGCTTTAGATATATTAGTACAGTATATTATATTAGCTTCTTTTATTCTTGGTTCACAGCTCACAAACTCGGGCGAGGTGGCCCGAAGTTTCAGATGTTCATGTAGGGTCGTGCTCTTCTTTCAGGCAGTCATGGAAATACTGCTGATGGACAACATCCTGCATCACCTGGCAACTACAGGGAGTCCCTTCGGGATTCACACGGGATTTCATACTGTGACCCATGGACATGAATCCTACAGCCAGTCCAATTTAGAGTATGATGGGGATGGCCTTTCTTGTCCTGGGGCATCATCCACAGCTTTGGACCTATCGAGGTAGCTGCCTCTTTCCTCCTAAAACCTACACTAACTCCTGGGAAACTTGCTAAGCTAAGGAAACATGGACAGTCACCAAACAGTTTTCTTCTCCTAGACGAACACACCCCACAACTGCTCTTTCATGTCACCACACAGACACCTGGACTCCAATGGACTCCAACTCCAACGGACTCCAACAACTGGACTCGGCGTGCGCCTGTCCTTTCGCACGGGCATCAAGTCCAAGATCAAGGAGTCCTTCTGGTTCTCGGCCACCCCAAAAGCCAGGACGCCCAGGATGGAGACCGAGGCGTAAAGGAGGAAGCCTTGGTTTTTCGCCGGACCGAGTCGCCTCTGCAAAGATTGCCAAAAGATCATGTTCGATTCATACCCGATAAGATATATATATATATCACTATGTATCTGTGTATGAGGAGCGCTTGGATCCAGGTTGTGTAAGTCGTGTTACCAACGGATCATGTTGCGACCGACTCTGTGCAATAACCGCTCTTAAAAAAAAAAATAAAAATAAAAAAAATATATATATATATATAATAATAATAATAATAATAATAATAACAATAAATTAAACTGCACAGCACATAGCATTGTCTTGTTGTCTCTTCGCATCTTTTTGTCTCAAGAGTCAAGAGTTCCTGATGAATATCTGGTGTGCACCATGTCCCAAATGAGGCTTGAGGCAAACAAGAAGCTGATGGAGGTGCTCAAGAGCGCCACCTGAAAAGTCGTTGATGCCGGAAGCTCTTTGGGGTCAAAGTCAGTACGGGGCGGGGCAGTCTGGGTGGTTCGGGATGGGTGACTGGAATGTCGGAGGAATCCATCCACTTGGTGTAAATGCCACCCAGTCTCTTGAACTCTTGGTGATTATAATCCGGAGTAGATAGCAACCATGAGTTTAAAATAGCAGCATGCATACATACATCTGTTACAGTAAATCTGTTATTGAATTCATCCACGTTCAACCGCCCTCGCCTCTTAGCTATCTAGATACCTACCTATCTATAACTAGCTGGCTGGCAGCTAGCGAGCAAGAGATAGCGACCTACCAACCTACCTACCTCAGCCACCTACCTGCCTTTACCTACCTGGGATCGATTTTCGCCACATGTCACGCGCACATTAGGAATGCTTCAGTTGGTTTGGCATGTCCGGTCCTAACCCAATACACCCCAAAGAATCCACCAGAATCAATAATGCCCTGGAAGCGTCTCGAAGCAAAACTTGATATTTGAGGCTCCTGTTCTGGCTACCTCAGATTTCCCAAGCCCCTCTTCCAGAAACTCAACAGCAACGCCGCGTTGTAACTCCCTGCACTCGTCCCGCCCGGAACGCGCCTTCGTCATGCCATTGCGGCTGGGCTCGGGCGTCAGCTCCCCAGTGAGCTGCGGGACGTTGAACCTCGGCAGCAAGTGGGGAAAGGATTGGGAAAATCCATTTTAGACGAGGAAAATGATCTTCAGATGGGGTGAGCATGAGTGAGCTGTGCACTTTTAAAAGGTCCAAGCTTTATAAGCAGTAAGCAAACAACTATCTTGGTATGACCTCGACATGGTTGCGCCACAGCTTCAGTCAGAAGGCTGTGGGTCATGATGGAACCATGTACCTCAGTATATAGTTTTCGCATCCGAGTTCACCACAAGAACAGAATCGTCAAAACCAGAAAAATCTTCAATGAATCACATGACTTTGGGCGGTTTTGTACGAACAAGCGCCATGTATAGCACCTATGATATCCGATAGCCCCCAAGTTTCAGGGTGGTAGAAGTCCCCTTTTCTCCGGCTGAATCGGGTCCAGCGGAAGACGGACTGCTCCAACGGTCAGAGGGCCAAGACGAGCCGAGCGACCGAACGGCCTGCCAAGAGGCTGGTTGTTGTAGGCGAAGATCATGTTGTTGATGGAGTTCATGTAGGTGATAAACGTAGCTCCACCTGGCAACTGCTGTGTTCTCCAGAAGGGTCAAGCCGTGGGGCCTTTGGCTGTCTTTTGAGTGTCTGTAAAAGAAGGGGCAAGATGAAGTCGTCATGGTCATCGACTCTCAGCATTAGGAGCCACCTCGAATACTAGCCGGTTATATTTTTCTTCGGCCTTACTTTCCACCGGCGCACTTGCAGGCAATGTTTGCCTACCCTGGTGGTTTTAGGTCTTGACTTCATAGGCAGAAATCACCCAGAGCCAGAAGCCTCTACTTGTGTGCTCAAATGTTGGGAAAGGGGAACAAATTGTTCCACACGTCTTTGACACATCTCCACCTGGGCCCAGGAGAAAGTTCTCCGTTGTGACGCTCTCGTCGATGCCCCGGTCACCTCGTGCCAAGGCTGAGCGATAGAAGTAGGCCAAATTACCCGGTGAAGGTGGAAATGATCATCTTCCAGGGGTCCAGAACTTGCAAACAGCGAGACTTGCCACTTGCCACAAACAAAAAAGAGGTCTTGGATTCCTGCGCCGTAGCCCAACATGGCGGATTCTCATCATGATCTGTTCGTCATACCCCAAAAAGGATACTCAAAAAGAACCTTCACGGCTTGACATTCGCATTCGCAAACAAGAAGCAACAACAATAGTTGAGAAAAAGTTCCAAAAATATATGAATAGATTCAGATCAGGAGACTCGTTGTGGCCTCACAACGAGTGGAGCTCCGACGTCTCTGACGTCGAGTCCCATCGTGCTCCGAGCGGCCCATGTACCACGCCACCACGATGACGAGGAGGATCAAGGCACCGACGCTCAAGGCCGCCAGGTGCCGCATGAAGCCCACCTTGGGGAGACATGAGCTTACCCCAAAGGATCCCGAAGGGATCGAAGGAAAAAGAAAAGATCGAAAAGAATGGGAGACTGGCGAGAAAAAAGGAGAACAGTTGGAGGCCATCGCTCTTAGGTTGGAGGCCATTGCACTGAGACCTTGTACCTGAGGAGCTGAGGCAAATAAACCTATAGAAAGGATCACCAGTTCACCGGTGGATCTTCGTGCAACTAAACTACTAAACTATGGTGCTGACCCTTGAAGTGGTCATGTTCTGAAAGCTGACCCGCCTGGTCCTTTCGAGCGTCCAATACCCCAAAAAAGGGAGGGTGGCCATCTCCATAGCTTCAGGTATTGCTACTTGCCAACATCAGCGTATTGGCTCGTGGCTTCGTCCTTTAGTGGAATCTATTATTATCATATTTTATCATAGTCATCCCGACACCTAAACTTCAAGCAAAAGGAGACACGCCTTCTGAATCGGAAACCTCTGATCAATCAGCTCCCTGGTCCGCAAGCAGAAAATAGCCGTCACCGACCCAGAATGGCAGGCCCTATGAGTCCGAGCTGCATGTCGAGCCAAAGCCATCGGGCAGCAAACGAAGATCCCCACCAAAACCTAGTCGGAACTGACTGCAAGAGGCAATCTTCACACCTCAGGTGACCTCATAGGTGATCTGAACCACCTCCGGGAAGTCAACATCAATTGAACAAAGCTTGGATCAACATCTTTATGGTTGGTAGGGCACCTATCGATACCAAATATCCACGCTTGGCAGTAGAATTGCATCTGACTGGTCAAACTCCGACCAGGCCATTTCTAAGTGACCTCATGCCTTTTTCGAAAATATACTTGTTTTATATATATTATATTATCCTTCTGGTCTTGGGACTCCCAGACTTCTGGGTAAGACGGCTAGACGACTGCTGAACTACTTGGGGTCGATTTCTACGTCTGCACCAAAGGTAGCGGGTCTCCAAAAGAACCCAACCTGACTCCAATGCGAGCAACCACGAAGAGGTTCCTGGTGGCGTTGTCCGCCTGGAAAATCACCACGAAGACCTGACGCAGCACCGGTGATCAAAAGGGGCTGACGCAGACCGCGTGTCACCACCTGGTTCATCAGCCCTGTGTTCAAACCTGGAGGTTCCGAGATGTCCCAACAAGCCCCATGAGCGGTAGTTTTGGCTGGTTCAGATTGGTGACCCCTTGGAAGGTGTTGGAAGAAGTCGGTTTTGGCACTTCCATCTACCCAACGCAAGCAGACTGCTCTTCAGCCCTTGTGTCAGGTGAGTGCAACAGCTGAACTCTTTTGGGCCAAACCAGGAAAGAATGCACAGAATGTGCATGCCATTGCCATAATCCTGCAAACGTTACCCACATGAAGCACTGGATGTCTACTCAACACCAGTAGCACTGGGTCCTACAGGTTCGGGCTTAATGTGCCATGTTCACAGAACAAGGGGCAGTATTCTGATGCTAAGTAAGGCCTCCCAGGGTGGGGTGAACAGGTGAATTACTAAATGTCCTGTTGGATGAGGTGCAGTGGTTTCAATCTATACATATGTGTTTACAGTATAAATGTATAATCATATGTCCTATATATATATTATACTATATTATATTATGTTATATTATATTACATTGTATTATACATAAACCACACTGATTGATGCCACATCCTGAGCTCTGCACCTGTCCACAAACGATGAGGTATCCGGCAGCGGAGCCCAGGCAAACGCAGGCGTTCATGAAGCCGGTGAAGATGGACATGACCTGATCACATGCAACAAAGCCGCCTGGACTCCTGGACTTTCCATGCGGAGAAGAATCTCGTAACTAGTGAAGGCACTTCATTGGCACCCACTTGGAAGCTTCTGGTGATCTGAAAATCCATTCAAACAGGTGACGGCGTTGCTCCTTTTTCTCCGAGATCTGTCGCCACGTCTTGGGATACCTCCACCCAACTCTCGCCCAGGGCGACGCCCGGCGACGCAACCTCACCCTACAAGTACCAGCAGCACCCTCAAACCTCCCCTCATCTCCACAAAACTGCACCCACAACCCAAAGCGAAAGGAGGGCGCGCGTACGGAGGGCGTAGGTCTGAGCCGCCGAGGCGCCGGGTGGAAGAGCTCTTCACAAACGTCTTCGAAGCTCCACTTCTTCGTCTCAATGGATGCCACTGAGATCATCCTCGAGCAACGGCATCAGTGGCCCCTTGGGCGCCCTGTTGAGCGTTGTTGAGCGTGTAAGGTAGTAACAGAAAAAAGCTCAAGTTGGGGATGTCCAGGCTTGACCATTCTCAGGTCATCAGCTCCATTTACCTGATTAGCAACCCGTTGGCCTCCATGTGAACACATCCAACGAACAAAAAATGAGGGATGCGTTTTCCATGTGTTGGATGTCCATGTGTTTTCTTTTTCATACTTGGAGAGTTGAAGACGAAGCATCCGAGACACCACTTCAGAGCTTTCGGATAAGGATTGTCGATGTGGACCAAGAATACCGTACTCCATTGTCCTCTGCACCTGGTGTGCCTAGACACAGAAAAGAAGGTAAAGCGCGAGATGAATCAAATGTTCGACCCCTTGGAGATGGACAAACTCTTGCACCAACGTCGGATACTCTAAACCCAGAAAATTATTGCATATCCATGGATTTCCTCTCTACCTGGCTGTACAGGATGTTGTCTGTTGATAGTACTTCCCAAAAGCTTCCAGATAATTCCAGTCATGTTCAGTCGTAGGATCCGGATACTCAGCACTGTCAGCATGCCACCCAGCCTCGGACATCAAAGCACTGCTGGGTCAAACTAGACAATCCCTCACCTTACTCACCTTAGCGTTTCGTTTTCATCGTTCACCATGTTATGAGGACAGGATTGGGGGTCTTCCTTTGGTGTTTCCTTTGCAGTCGTGTCTTTTTGGCCCCAAGAAGCTTAAAGAGCAGATCAACCATCCATGGCTTTAGCCCGTCACCGTCCGTCACCTTTGGCTAGCCATTCAGTTCGGTGTTTTGGTCATTTAACCTCAAAACCACCCATGAAATATGGGCCTTCCAATAATGAGGAGCCGGTGTATCAAAGTATCAAAGCCCCTACACGGCACGATAGTCTGGGTTCGCAGGGGCTGTGTAGTGTCCTGTTGATGAGACCTTGCTTTAAATCAGGTAGCAGAGACCTGATTCTCGGCAAATTTACATCTTAAGCCAATGTGCTTCACCCACATATGCACCGTAATAGGCAGACCCAATGCCCTAGGGACCCACTGCACTGACTAAGGCATTGTTTTCACAAAAGATCGCAAGGCATTCAGTGGTTAAGGCTTTGGTTGATGTGTCCACATTGCGGAGCTCCATTGGTCCAGGCGCACTATATACTTCTCGATTCAGACATCTGTTAGACACTCAGACAAGCTCCCCAACCCATCCAGGCGTTTATATCATCTTCTATCTCTCACAGCGGCCGAAACCCGCTCCTGACTCTTGACACTCCAACGACTTCTTTCATTCCCACCACTCCTCTGCCGAGCTCTGCCGAGCCGCATGAGGCACGCCAGCTGGTAGAGAGCCCCCACCTCTGCCGCGTGCACCGACACCGAGAGCACCCCAGCGCCGATGGCGGCCTTGCTCAGGCAGATTGCAGTGGGAATCACGCCGCCCCGGCGGAAGGAGCTCTGGCGCTGGAGCTTCCTGAAGACCCAGCTGTCTCGAGTGGAAGCAGTGCTGTCAACAAATACCAACAAATCGCAACTCGACATTCCCGGGCACCTTAAAAGAAGCACTGATGTGAAGGGGAGAACAAACACAAACCAATCTCACACCATCGCGCAAAACAATAGGGAGACACCGATGATTGTTGTTCGTCCTTGAACTTTGTTTCTATCCTTTTTTTGCCCTTTCTACTCGTTGTTGAGTTTGTGTGCTTTTGCATACATCTGTTTCGAGGGAAATAAATACAATGTGCTTGCACCACGCAGCGTTGGCTGCATCTTCGCCAGGGAGTCAGTGGTCGAGACCTCGCTCACAGCGGTCTCCAGGTCGACAGCCTCTGCCTGACGGCGGATGCCACGAATCGGCGAACTCGGTCAACAACAAAGTCTGCAGTTGGCGCGATGGCCAGGAGACTGGCCGGAAAAACATCTTTATTGAAGGAAGCAAAAACAATCAACACGATGTACTGCAGAAGTAAGGAACTTGAAGAACGGAGACCTTCGGAGGGAAACTCTATTCCTTTCATGTAAAGGTCGGGATGGTTCACCGACTGAGGTCAACAGAGCCGTGAAGACTTGTTGGGCGTCGGACCCAATAAAAGAATAGAGGTTGCCGTCGTTCAGAGGCTTCCCCGAAGTGGTGGGTGAAGAGCAAAGGAAGAGGGGAGACAAGCCTAGCGGCCTAGCGAGCCTAGGACATCGTGAGACTCTACTTGATCCACATTGACCCCACCAAGACCAAAAATCGCTGGGAGCGGCTGGCCTTTGCTTCCACGGCCATCTTCCTGTTGTAGGTTCTTTGCGCAACACACCCGGACTCTTGAGATGAAATGCTGATCACATATGCAGAACATGACATGGGCGACGTAGAGCAACGTGAAAATGGATCCTTTGCTGGCCCGCATGGATCGTCAAAGCCGCGACAAAATTCCGTTCATCATTCCGTGCCGGATCTTTTGAAAAACTGCTCTTGCAGGGCCTGGTTGGTCTACTTTTTGAGAAGTCCGCCCCAGAAAAAGGGTCTGTACACTTGCAGCACTTCATGCAGTTTTGAGTTCTCAGTCTTCTCATGGAAGAAGCACTGCCAAGGGTGGAACCAGGTTCATCGGCAAAACTTAGAGCTCCGCACTTAAACTGTATATGGACGAACATCTGACCAGGTTCCACCACTATACAAAGAATGATCATGCACCAAGCCATACACTGCTTATAAACCCAGATCTCTATGATCACGAACCATGCACTTTAATTGTTTAGCTATACATCTGGCTGCAGCTCCAAAATCTGAACCGCCCGATGCCTAGACAGGAGAGCAACAACATCAGTCTCCAATCCAAACATCCTATTTGCCAGCAAAGGGCATCCGTGGATTGGGGGTCCTGGATTTCAGACGCTGCATCTAGTCACGTCGCGGAATGCCGCAGCATGGGATGAACTGCAGTTCCGCACCCATCCCAAACGCCGCGGCTCCACGAGCCGACCGGGAAAATGGACATGATGGTGTTATGACATTGCTTAGCGTCTCTCAGAGCCCAAGGATTGGCAGGATGGCCGAGTAGGTGCCAAAGACAAAGAGGAAGAGGCCCAAAGCCAAGAAGGAAACACTCCAGAGGATCTCTTTGTTGAACCAGGAGAAGTTCTGCTCATCCTGGATGTTACTACTCCGAGTCAAAAAAGTTGACCAGCTGTTCGAGAGACATGTTTTTTTCTTATGGGCACCTCCAGAGGCTTCAGAAGATGTTAGGAGTGTTGACTTGGAGGCGTTTGGGATACTCAAGCAACTCCACAAACACAAGGTCGACAAATACCCCTTTGCTCTTTGAGCAGAAGGCAAAACATGACCCTGAAAGAAATTCAAGCAGGCCCGGCGCACGCCAGGATGGGTGCACAAAAAGTCTACCACTGTATGCCTCAATTTGTTACACTTGGTTCGACTTTATCGTTTGAAGGCACCATCCGCGCTTGACACACGGCTGCGCGCATCCTGTCCTTGCGCCGGAGCGCGATGATCCACATGGGGGGCACCATGAAACCTCAGAGCGTCATGAGACTCCCAGTGCAAAGCTAAATTTGTGCCTTTTAGCGGGTCCGTTTTTTCAAGGGACTTCACTAAGTCTAAGCATCTTGTACATCCTGGTGAATTAGTCCTTGGGGTTCTTCGAGCAGGAAACATCGAAAATGAAAGGAACAGCCTGCCCCACCCTGACCACCCAGACCCTCTCGCCCACCACACGCCCCAGCCACTGATGTAGGCAGCACCAAAGGCCCCGATGAAGTCCAGCATGGCCCGGAGGCTGGTAATAACCTTCACTGAATAGGAACATGGTGGAAACGAATGCTCTTTTTTCTAAGATAGAACCCCAACAGTAAACTGTTTGGGGAATGACTTCACTTGCCAACTACCATGGTGAAGCTCGAACCAAAACGATGCAATATCCTAAATCACCTCATCCAGGTGACCACCGCGATGAGGACCACCAGGCAGACCGAGCCCAAGGCACAGAAAATGTCGTACCACCGCGTCAAGCTACGTCCGAAGTAGACCACGTCCTCAGCTAATGGTGGGGATGGTGGCCGGTCTTGGGGAGGTTGGGAAGCAGTCTGATCGGTTCCCGTGGTGTGTTCTGATGGCCAATCATAGGTGAAACCCTTGGTGAACCAGATGGGTCCCAAAATGGACTGTGAGGGATGTGAATCCAGGCAGGTTGACCGATACCCACATCATGTTGTGAGGCAAACCTCTTTTGATGGATGGTCTTGTTCCTGTCTCTTGGCTGTTCTATTTTGATAGCTAGTGGTGCTCTTCAAATCCTAAGCATCAGCCATCCAATCAGCGGTGTCTTGGAGATAGGAGCCTGCCAAAAGTTCTCTAATTTGCACTCAAAACGACCACTGGAGAAAAAACGAAGTGCCGTACATCCCTAAAACCTGAACATGGACCACTGCAACATCTACAAAAACCGGCTGCAGTGATCTACAGGATGGAATTACGAAAAGCATTGCCAAAGGGGCAGAGCAAACGACCACTGGTGAAGGGAAAGCCAAAAAAGTTTTTAAACAACAAAACCTTGGCGTTGTCCCCCGTGACCACAGGACCTGACAATGTCCTGCCTCCCAGCTTCTGCCTTCTCATCGTCGGAGCTGCAACCGCGCGCCTTGCGCACCAGATATGCCAAGAACTGCTGGATAGGATAGATGTGGAGTTGGAAGCCTCGGCACCAGCAGTTGAGGCATCGATCTCTATCTGGGGAATCACTGTATACAGTATGTGTACATGTCGCCATGGTTCGCACATGAACTGAAGTTAACCCACTGAAAGCCTTGAACAGTCAAGCTGTGGTAATCCTTGATGAGGCTACGGAGTGAAGCGTCAAGAGCTTAAGTGAAAAGTGGATGGTTTACTACCTGAATCCCTCAAGAACAGTCAAGATGCCGGGCCAATTGGAAACAGCCTACTTGCATCGCTTCATTCTAGTCAGGAAAGCACATTGGAAGTTGGAAGCCTTTGACTCAGGAGTCATGAGGTGTTCGAGTTGTGCCTCCTTCTGGCTGTCTCAAACCAGCGATGTTGGGGGCACAAAGACATGTTGCTCAGGGGAACTTTAAAATGCACATACCGAAGGTCCCAAGACAATGAAGGAAATCCAAGTCCTTTTACATCTCTAGAACCATTTGTGTTGGGCAAGAAGCCAACGAAAAACAGTTCTCAAAAGACAGGCAGAACTGAGCAAGCTTGCATTGCAAAGACCAATGGTTTGGCTTGATGATGCCACGTCTGGAATGGAGTACAAAAAACTTATGTGTAAAATATAGAGAGCTCGAAGTTATGCGGGTGTGGCTTTTACGCGTTTTTGTGAGAGAGTTTCCACGGTTGCGGTCTAGATATGTTCTTGTGCTCCTGTTTCCCAGACAAAACAACTTTTCTTTTTTTTAAACAACCTCTGGATCCGACTCTACCCTTCCTTGCCCATAAGCATTCTCATTGTTGCAAAGGTAGCACTTTTTGGGCTTCTCCCTCCACATTCTTTATGACATGGGCTTCTCCCTCCACATTCTTTATGAAATGGAGAGAGGATCATTATCTTGAAACACAATGTGCCCACCAGGCCCAACAAAAGTTGAGAAACTTGCTTAGTAGTACTGGACCTGGATGACTGATTGGGCTTTGCATGGCCTTCTTGACGCACATACCCATAATAAGCCTCATCCTCATTCTCAGAGTGATAGGGAAACATTCGTTCACATCCTATCCCACAAGTTCGATTAGACCAATCCTGCTCATCTCCACTGTTCTCTCCATATCCCCCCATCTACGACAAAATCTTCCAAAGAACCTTATGAAGCCCATGGAACGATCCAGCCATAGATACACTAAGGGTCTGAATTGGCTGTGTGGCCACTACTCATTCCCAAGCTCATGAAGAACCTTCTCTTCACCCCAATCTTCTTGCCCACACATAGACATACATGAAGTCAGGTTGTACCAAACCTGGCATGCTCAGCATGCTCCCAATGTTCACCCAACATTGCCAAGGACATTCTTTCTCGTGATGCCACCCAAGCTCAAAACCTCATTGGACCTCACCAACACCCACCCAAAAGTAAACCAATAAATTGTGCCAAAAATATGCTCTACCAATAGCATGAATCATGAGGATCAACCAATGTTGTACCCAAATGGTTCTGATCTTCCATTGGGCCACCTAACCATGCACACAAACCCATTTGCACCAGGCATTCCATGGACCCCATCCATCATTGATTGTCTAGCAAATTTCCCTCTCACATGGTGCCCATGTGCTCTTGGAGGCCAAACAAACCCAATCGAAACACCATCCATATTGCGCTGCTGTCTGGGACATTTGCTCAATGGTTTGTATAGCAATACAATTTGCTCAAAGTCAGGATCCCAATCTCTCAGGCCCTGGTGTTGCGTTCACGCAGCCGCCTCTGGTCTCAAATGAAATTGCATACATACAGCCACACCCCCAATGCCAGCTGTTTGACGCACCCAATGCTTCATCTCATCTCATCTCATTTCATCCACATTGGAAGTTCCATTTTCCTATGCCCATCTCCAAATCAAGACACTATTCCACACCCCACCATTGAGACCATACAGTGTAGGTATTCACCCTCACCACATAGAGCCTGAATCCCCCATTCCTTCTCCATGTTCTGATAATCATCTATCAGCAAGTTCAGGACATCACATCATATATCATCAGATCATCACCTCTATGAGGGGGATCTTATCTCCAAGGCCTCCAATCTCAATGAGTCCTCAATCTCCAGCAACTGGGCCTGCCGGGCTCCTCCCCGGGAGGGGGGGGGCCAAAAAAAAAAAATTGCTCGTGGCGTGGGATTGGGCAACCATTTTTTTTTCGCCCCCCCTGAGAAGCCCAGGCCCAGGTCCCAGTTGCTGGAGATTGAGAACTCATTGAGATTGGAGGTCTTGGAGACCAGATCTCCCTCATAGAGGTGATGACCTGATGATGTATGATGGGATGTCGTGGACTTGCTGATAGATGACGGTTGATGGACTTCTGTGTGGGAATCATGATAACTAGTATGTTTGAATAAGATTGATGAGAAATTTGACAGATTACAAATTGACATGTTTGCTAGACACGTTCTTCAAAACAACTAACATGTTCAAAAAAAACGCAGAAAACCACAAATCACAAAAACGCGTAAAAACCACACCCGCAGAACTTCGTTTTCTGAAAATATAACATGTGTATATGTCTATATAGTATATACATATCAAATACACATATTAATGTATATATATATATAATCAAATATTTACTGTTATCCGAAAATGACAAACGTTTCTTCTTTGAGCTTGTCAAAACGCAGTAAAACCTCGAGCAGTCACATGTCATCCCCCATTCCCCAATGCGAGACGTGACACCACTCTGACCATCCCGGCTCATCACATCTCTCATTCCTCCGCAGCTTGCCGGGAACCAACCCGGACCATGATGTGTCACCCTGCCAGGCCACAGGTGAGGACGCTGAACATCACTGCCATCAGCGAGATCCGGACGTGGATCTCCTTCGGTTCGGTGGGACAGGTCAAAGAGATCGAGCGCGAATGGAGGAAAATAGAGAATCCAAAACAACAGTCCGCGACCGATAGGTTTACCATAGATTCTACTGCACGCGTACTGAGATTGATTCATTGTCGTCTCCTACTCAGTGGGGTATCATCCAGACAAGTGTACCCCAGGTTAGACAAAACAGCACCCTGCGTGAAGTTCGTCAGCGCATCTCCAAGCCCTTTGGTGTGGGGTGCCCACAGTGTGGTGAACTATGACTAAGAATTTGCAACAAGTGCTGGGTTATCCACAGCCCTCCACGCAGAAAGCTGGTGAGATATGTTGAGTCACGGTTTTCCATCCTTGCTACTTCCGAATTGTTCCCTCTATGACCCTCCCTTGGAGCATCAGCCTTCCGGAAAATGATGCGAACACCTCCCGTCACCCCACTCCAGCGGTGCCTTTAGCCGACTCGAGCGACTGGACTCGGCGTGCCCGGTCCTCGCGCACGGGCATCAAGTCCAAGATCAAGGAGTCCTTCTGGTTCTCGGCCACCCCGAAGGCCAGGACGCTCAAAAGGAAGACCAAGGCGTAAAGGAGGAAGGCTTGGTTTTTGCACAGCCGGAGCCAAGTCGTGCCGGGGTTCCCGTAAAGAAAACATAGGCATCCACTGGTGTTTGGATGTGAACTATGATGTCTGACAAGAGTCGACATCCACGAGTAGTCGGACATGTGTGTGCTTTCTTGCAATGCTTACACCAGGTGTCCTGCAGGGCATCAGCGTCCAGTCTCCAAAGCACACACAGGCACCTCTATACTTGAAGTAAGAACCCCAATAGCTCTCATTATGTGGGGGAAAATATATGTTAAAGAAACCCAATGTGGTCAACTGTGTAGCCACCAATGAGAATACCTGTTCCAGCAGTTTCCAAGGCTAAAAAACCTAGATAGGCACCTGCACAGGTTTCTTCACAGAGAACCAAAGAGAAAGAAGCCCTGCATTAAACTGGCAGCGTGCTTTGCAAAAGTTTACTATAGGCAATCATGTCAGATGATTTGAGTACCTCTCATTCTGTTTTGTCCGAGCCCCACAACTGTCTCAAACATGAGAAGGAAAGGCGAAAAAACATGAAAAAAACTCAAGAGAGAAAAAGATCTGTACAATGTAGAACATGCAAGACACACAGCTGTTCGCTTCTTGTCGGAAGACTCAAGGGTTCCGGTGGATTGAGACATGCAGGCAAGAAGCTGACGGAGGTGCTCAAGATCGCCACCTGAACAAGGACGCTACGAACGGGGCTCCTGGCACTAGGAACATGGACACTACTAGGAGCAAAGAGCATCGCTACGAGCGAGAAGATGGGCCAGTGGTGGAAACTCCTTGAGATGGCAAGAGGCGAAGACTGAAGAACAGTTCGCACACACCAAGCCAAGAGAGGGCGAGGCAGTCTGGGTGGTTCTGGGATGCCTGGAATGTCGCAGGAGTCTATCGAGCCCATGTGGTGCAAATGCCACCCCATCTCTTGAACTCCTGGTGATTATGATCCGGAGTATGGCAAGACCGATCAATGTCCCTGCGGAATCAACCTCAAGAGAGAACGGTCAACTAGCGGCTGAATCTCACAACAATTGAAAGTGCTTAAAGATCCCACCACAATAGAGAATCGATGATAAATACAATATATATATATAATAGTGTCAACCAATGTGAATCAAAACCGGAGCTGGATCACCTCTCTGAGATGGATCCTTTTTCCAGCGACCTCAGATATCACACTTCCACGAGAAAATCGAAACCAAACAATCACCGTGCCCACACCCATCCATTCGCAAAGAAACGCGCCTTCGTCATGCCATCGCGGCTCGGCTCGTGGGTCAACTCCCTGGTGAGCTGCGGGACGTTGAACCTCGGCGGCAAGTGGGGAAAGGATTGGGAAAATCCATTTGAGATGGGAAAAATGGTCTTTAGATATCTTTAGATGAGGTAAGCTTTGCACTTTAGGCGGTCCAAACGGCATTCCACCAAGTGGGGGTCAAGCCATGTCACTCAATCCGTCCGCTCGGCTGAGCCAACAAAGGGTGATTTGGATCGATGTGGGTTGAAACTGAAACGAACGCAATGTATAGCACCTATATGATGAACACCCCAAGCTTCAGGGTCATTGTTTAGAAATCCATTTTACCAGCTGCACATGGATCCTTAATAAGCGTGACACAGCGTGACCATGTTTCTCTAGAAGAGGGTCGGCTCCGGCCAAATTGTTTTTGAGCACCCGTTGGGGGTGACGGAAAAGGAACCGCCGCCTGCCAGGAGACTGATTGTTGTAGGCGAAGATCATGTTGTTGATGGAGTTCATGTAGGCGACAAACGTCGCTTCACCTGGCGGTGGTTTTGCTCTCAAAATGGCGGACAGAGCTGAGCCTCTGGCTGGTGTGGCCTCGCCCAACTGCAAAAGGGGGGAGAGGAGGCCTTCATGGTCAGGGTCATCTACATCTATAACCTTCAACAATTAGTACCCGCGTCGAATACTAATTAGACGGCGGCTTTTTCCTTTGGCCTGACAATCCGCCAGCAGGCAGGACGGGTGGGGATTCCTCGCTTGCGATCAGACGATCGCACCTTCCGTACCCCATTGAATATTCCAACACTTTAGAGAAACAAACAGGTGAAAGGAAGTGCTGGTGAGTTGTCACATAAACAACAGCAAAACAAAGCACCACACATAGTTCAAGACGGCGGCTAGTATATGCAGAAAACAGGGCACAATAGATGACCATGGGTTTGGGGACTCGATCCCGCACCAACATCCGCACCAATACGCACCCCATGCCTTGGTGAGCGGGTGTGGAAGACATCAAATACCACTCAATGTAAATGTACCACAGTTTTACGATGTTTTGAGTTGGACGTCTGCAAAGCCACCAAGAAACCTCGTCGTCTTGTGTGTTTCGGATGAAGTCCGAAGGCAGAAGGGCGGATCAGCAATGGCCTCCAACCTACTAGCGATGGCCTCCCCTTCCATCAGTGTTTTGCACATACAGTAATTGAACCATCTCCGCCTGGGCCCAGGAGAAAGCTCTCCGTCGTGACACTCTCGTCGATGCGGTGCTCACCTCTGCATGCGGTGTGGAGTCTGGAGCAACGAAAGTTGACTGGCAACTGACCCGGTGACGGTGTGGTAGAGACCCGATCATCCAAAACAAGACGTTGAATCCAAAGGTGATTGATCATTGATTCTGATCGTTGGATTCCCATGATACCCTGATGTCCACCAACCTTGCGAAAAGGAACCTTGAAGCCTGACAGCTCTCCCAACACTATTCTAGGACATTCTTGCAAGAATTGCAAGTGTGAGAGGTTCTTCTAGGACACTCTTGTAGGACATTCTGGTGCGACACTCTTCCACACACACACTTGTGTGAAAGTCTTGTATATCTTGTATGGCTCTTTTTCTGTGTCGCTCTTGTAGAACACTTTTGTTCAACACCCTTGTGGGACACTTTTGCGGAACACCCTTGTACACTCTTGCAGACTCTTGCGTTGACATTCTTCTTGATTGAAACTTTTGTAGGGGACACTCTTATGCGGGACATCCGCCAGCAGTGACCGAAACGAGCACTTCATGTGAGTCACATGAAAAAGTCTCCAACACAAGACGTTGTCGTCTATAGCGAAGGCGGGAGAGCGACCCAAAACACTGCGCCCACATGACTCCAAACATCTCCAACACGCAACATCAATCGATGCGATGGTAGAAGCACTGTGCTCACAATAGTGACTTAAGGGCGTTACACGTTTGGAATTCGATCGGAATGCACCATCTACACTCTACACGTTTGGAATGACTAAGGGCGCTTACTTTCCTGCCTCACAGGAATCGTACACAAAATGCGAGCTGAGATTTCTCACGACAATACAGCTTCGAGGCGAAGCCTTCAAGAGCAAATCCCAATGACACCAAAGACCCACCTGGAAACACAAATTCCAGCGGCCTCCACAGAAAATTGATGCCGCACATCTAAAGAAGGCACGCCTCCACTCTGCTTCACAAGAATCGAACTCTTCGTCAGTCCGTCCATCCATCCAAGACATCAAGACCTCCTCCAAAAGCTAAAGACACCCAGTGACAACGCTTGCAAATGCTTGCTTCTAGTTGCGAACCCTCAAGCGCCGTCGAGTGAACACGCGTCAAACCCAGACCCCCAGGCGTTGAACGAGAATCCTTCGCTACGCAGTGGAAGATTGTAGACGTTCTCGTTCGCCTCTGCGGGATTGTCTCCCCTTAAGATCGACCGATCGACGATCCTCCAGGATCGTCGGCCTGTGCTCCAAGTGGCCCATGTACCATGCCACCACAATCACCAGGAGGATCAAGGCACCAACAGTCATGGCTGCCAAGTGCCGTGTGAAGCCGACCTGGGGAAACAAATCAAAAAAAACGCATCTCACCCTTCAGGGATGAAGGATCTCCACCTGTGGGTCTCCATGTAAAGCAATGATTGATTTACTGATTTACTCTGAAGTAGTGATGTTCTTGTCGCAGGTCGATTTTCAGAGTTCCAATACCCTAAAGATGGAGGGTGGCGGGCCTGGCGGGCCTTCCGCACAGCTTCAGATATCAATGCTTGCCACTAAACATATAGAAACATTTGCCTATTTGCTCGTGGAATTGTTCTCCAAAGGGATCCCCTGTAACCCGTGATGTGTCCCTAAAAACACGCCTTCTGAATCGAAACTCTCTTGAGTCTGATGAATTAACAGTGCCAAATAGCTGTCACAGCAGGGGTCCAAGCTGCATGTCGAGCCAAAGCCATGGGGCAGCAAACAAAGATCCCAACGGAGACCTGGTTGTTTTCAGATGCGATGAACACACGCGGCCCATGCGTGCCGCTGTGAAAACCAGACTTTGGGAAAGGGTCGTGTATTAGAACCAGGACATCTCTTTTGCCGCATTTGCCCATGCCCGTCTCAAGCGAGTCAGGGAAAGTAACTCAGGAATTCTACCAGTACATGACCTTACAAAATCTTACAAAAATAGAAGAACAAGCGTAGCTCGCCATCTACTGTAACAGTATGTCTACAGCATTCTAAAGTCAGTTGTTGACTTAGTCCATTGAATGTTGCGCTGGAGTGCAATGGTGACACCTGACTGATGCTCACAAGTGATCTGGCGTTTTCACGCATGCCATGTGCGCGGGACATGAGCACGCAGAGCCTGATGTTGGATGTTCTTTGGGATTGCTCATCGCAAAACACGAACTTCATCCTCAAGAAATGGACCAACCATTCGTTCGTCTTCGGATTTTCACCCAGTTTTGGGGTTTTGGGCTAGCCAAATGGAAGTTCCGACTCTCAACGCAGGTTCCCTGACTCCAAAGCAAGACTTTCCATGACTTTCCATGACTCTCCTATTTTTGTTGCTTCTTGTCATGCGTCCATCATCCATCATGAAGTCGAGTCCACAAAGTCGTTGAATCTCCGAGTCGGTGAACCTGAAATTCTCTCTGTCTTCTTGTTCCTAGTAGTAAGGCCAGGAGCGCCCCTAGTAGCGGCCCTGCTCCTAGTAGCGATGCCCTTTGTTACTAGAACGGTTTCCACCCCCAAACTCTGCACTCGTTTTGGCAAGTCGTTCGACTGGGACTCCCCGACTCATGGGTTTCGATCAATGCTCAACTACTCAGGGCCGATTCCCCTATGTTTGGTCTCCGCAAGAACCCAACCCGAAACTCCCAGACTCTCATCTCAGTGGCCACGAAGAGATTCCTGGTGGCGTCGTCGGTCGGGAAGACCACCACGAAGACCTGACATTGGCAAGAGGGGGGGCGGGCGGCACCGGCGGTGATCACCTAGGGCAAACCGGGGCAAACCTGGTGCAAACCCTGGTCGTGTTCAAACCTGGAGCTTCCATTTGGGGATGTCCATTTGGAGCTCCCATGGCGTGGTTCGGATTGATCACGAAGGTGCTGGAGACTTCTTCCGCCACGTTTTCAGACTGCGCAGACTGCCCGTTATCAGCCAAGTGGATGTTCGATTCCAAAAGGTCCCTATAAGGTAGTACTCTACATGATCAAAAGTTATCCCCGGCCCCTGACCAATGAATGCCTTTGAAGTGGTTGGAGAAAGACAACAATCAACACCCAAGTGTTGAGGGTATCCACGAAAGCCTTTTCCCAGTTGGCCCAGTTGTGAAAACCAAAGCAGAAGTTCACACTTCTGAGAATTCTGCCACGTGGGTTCTGATATTTTCGGGTGTTCAGTGTTCTGCTAGAAAAGTGTTGAGATTTGCAACTGGGGTAGGATTTTTCGCCGGGGATCATACAAATGGCTTCTATCTATTGGTCAACCCTAATCATTAGGCCCTAATGACCCGAACACTGGCTGAGGCCACATCCCAGGGCCCGCACTTGTCCGCAAACGATGAGGTATCCAGCGGCCGAGCCCAAGCAAACGCAGGCATTCATGAAGCCGGTGACGATGGCCATCACCTGCAACCAAACTTCCTGCGCCATCTTTCTAACAAACCTACTAGCGATGGCCTCCACCCTAAGAGCGATGAACCGTCCTTCTTTTTGATTGAAGTCCAATGGAGTGACGCGTTTCTCGTTTCCTCCGAAGTCTGTTGCATAGTTTGTGGATCTCTTGGAATGCCAGCTTTTGTCAGGGTTACTTTCCTGTGTAGTGGATCATTGTCGACAACACTCTTTTCATGCGTCGTGAAACATAGGGTTCCTGGAAAGTGCCATTTCCTCCATGTCTTGGACAGGCAAGAAAAATCATCTACAGTAATAAATGTTGATGCTTGAGCCGTTGGTGTAGGAATCGGTTCGATGATGCTTGTTCCAGTCTTGTGGTCTTCTCGTTTTCTTGCCTTGGAAATAGTCGCGCAAGTCGTGGATATACTGAACACGGTCACTGTCGCTTGGCCCATCTTTCAACCAGGTGGCTTCCCCTTCCTGGAGCGATTCGCCCGATCCTAATCGCCCAATGGGCGACCAGCGATCAAATCCTCGATTAAACAGAACTGCAACCGTTCTTGAGAACCTCAAGGCTTGACTGAAACCCAATCCTGTTGATGGAAGAGTTCTCCCAAAAGTGCTCCTCCAACAACCCGTCTCTTCCTTCAACAGCAGCACTCAACGCAAAAAAAGACCAGTATCCAGTAGCACCCTCAAACCTCCCAGGATCTCCACAAAACTGCACACACCCGTCTTAAAGGGCGTACGGAAGGCATAGGTCTGCTCAGATCAAGCCTGCCTCTCTGGAAGGGCTCAACCGGAGGGCATAGGTCTGAGCGGCCGAGGCGCCGGGTGGAAGAGCTCTTCACAAACGTCTTCGAAGCTCCACTTCTTCGTCTCAATGGATGCCACTGAGATCATCCTCGAGCAACGGCGTGCTCGCGGCCGGACCTTGATTGGTCTTGGACGCAAGGAACTCCCCTGGGCCCTTTGAGGTCTTGGCAGTTTGAAGAAAGATCCTGGACACCACCTCAGAGCTTTTTGGATATGTGGACCAACAATCCCATACTCCATCTTCCCCTCTGACATGTGGACACCACCAGGCGCAGGAAAGAAAAGTATAGTGCGAGATAATCCGCATTGTCTGCCCCTTTGGGGTCATTCTAACTTGACGCACTTAGACTCCCCCCACGTTCCAGACTGTTGATGGACAAACTCTTGGAGCACTGTAAAATCATTGCATATCCATGGATTTCCTCTCTGTCTGGCTGTACAGGATGTTGTCTGTTGATAGGACTTCCCAAAAGCTTCTAGATAATGTTCAGTCTTAGCATCCGGATACTCAGCACTGTCAGCACGCCACCCAGCCTCGGACATCAAAGCACAGCTGGGTCAAAAGTAGACGATCCCCTCACCCTACCACTTGGTGTTCATCGTCTACTATTTATGTTGTGAGGACAAAGTCGGGTGTCTTGCTGCAGCTGTTGATGCGTGATTGTTCATGCTTGCTGTTCAATCCATGGCCTTGTTTGGGGTGGTCTTTGGCACCAGAGCCCATGCCTGGTCAAGGCGCACTGCACAAGAAGACGTCTCTCCTCCCCACCTCGGGCTTGGCCGAGCCGCATGAGGCACGCCAGCTGGTAGAGAGCCCCCACCTCCGCCGCGTGCACCGACATCGAGAGCACCCCAACGCTGATGGTGGCTTTGCTCAGGCAGATCGCAGTGGGAATCACGCCGCCCCGGCGGAAGGAGCTCTGGCGCTGGAACTTCCTGAAGAGCAATGAGGTGGCCGCAGCGGTTTCTGAAAAAATGAGTAGATGTGGGGGGCGTGAACCCAGCCGTCTCGAGTGGAAGCAATGCTCAACAAATCATCATGACTGGCTCAAAGCATCGCCCATCCACCACCATTGTTGAGTTCTTGTTGTTTTTGCATGGGTCTGTTTCTGCTGTAGATTGAAAAGAATAAAACTAACTTATACAACTAACTTTTATATAATATATGTATGTATATATATATATATATGTGTGTATATATATACACACTGATATCCTATCCACCAATGACACCGGGCGACGTTGACTGCATCTTGGCCTCGCTGGCCTTGAGACCTCGCTCACAGCAGTCTCCAGGTCGACCGACCGGGCCTGACGCCGAGCCGAGGAGGCCACGACGGTTTCTCTGCGACGACAGACCGAGGACGGAGATGCTATTGGAGGACGGAGATGTTTTTAAAGAACATGGTATAGAAGTCTATCTTGGATCATGTCCTTATTGAGGAACCTGAAGAACAAAGAACGGAACTCATCGAACTGATTGGATTCGATATCTTTTCCTTTCGAAACAGGGATCTTCAGGGTAAAGGTCGGGATGGTTCCCGGTGAGGTGAATAGAATCAAAAGAGATTACCCTGACAACTCCATCTTGCAGTAGGAAAACTCGTGTTTGCTTGTTCGTTGTTTCAATCATAAACACTGCCTTCCCTCCAAAGCGGTGAAGGAACCAAGCAAGGCATCCTACCCGCTGACGGGGGATGATGGAAATCTGCAAACCACCACTAAGGTCAAAAACGCTGGAGCAGCTGGCCTGTGCTTCCACGGCCATCTTCCTGTTGTAGATTCTTTGCAGCTCAAGACGAGGGCTGGGCTCTTGAGATGAAATGCTGATCAAATATGCAGAACATGGGCGATGGAGAGCAACGTGGAAATGAATACACGCAAGACTCCTTTCATCTTTCCATGTCTCTTTTTATTGTTTGCCATACCAAGACTGCTCTTGTTGGGCCTGGTTGGTCTGCTGTTGAAAACACCTCGCCCAAAAAGAAGCTGTACACTCGCAGCACTTCATGCAGCTTCGAATGTCCGTAGTGTTCGAAGCTGGAGATTGTGCTCGCAGTACTCCTTCCAGGAGGCCCCCTCGAGGTCCCAGAAAGAAGTGCCACATCAGTTGGGCGCAGCACCCACGGGGACTGACCGCATGGGATGCCTGGTGCCCAACTGAAAAGGCCGGTATTAGGTAATCCGGTAATACGGTACTAGTGAGAGTCCAGTTCAAAAGAGAGCTCTCTGTCTTCTCAAAGAAGAAGCAATCCAAGAGGTGGACCCTGGTCTATGGTCCCCCTAGACAGGGCCATGATAAACACCCTGGATCTCGAAGATCCTCATGCACTGCAGGGAATGCATCTGGTTGCAGCTCCAAAATCCGGAACCTCTCCAATAAGAAACAAACACCGTTTCATGAGTCTAGGTCTCGTAATGGCCACGTCTTCTTGTTCCCCAAAGGATTTCTAGGTCTCGCACCGTGCGCACAAACGGCAGGGTCGAATCCAACGGATCCGGGATTTTGGACCACTAGGCAGGGCAGGACATGCAATGGCACCATGGCGGGTGCATAGCGCCTCTCAGTGCCCAAGGATTGGCAGGATGGCCGAGTAGGTGCCGAAGACGAAGAGGAAGAGGCCCAAAGCCAAGAAGGAAACACTAAAGAGGATCTCCCGGCTGAACCAGGAGAAGTTCTTCGGGTCCTGCGAGATGTTGCGCAAGAAGCTGGTTGGTGGCTTGGGCGGAGTGAGATCAGTCTATGCCAAACCCCAACAAGTGCCAGTGCAGGAATATCCACTCTTTGAGAAAACAAATAAAGACCTTTCGCCAGAGTCAAACAGTCTTCCCGGCATTTCACCTGAAACGGCGGATGGTCTTCAAATGCAAGAAAGAGAGAAAGAATCTCTGATCTGTCCGCAACTCCGCCTTCAAACTTCAAAAAAGCTCATCTCTGATGTCGGCAGTCTCCAGACGGGATTCCCTTCCCCATACTTCTACCACCACTCCTTTCGTCGGAGCGCAATGATCCACAAGGGGGGCACAATGAAGCCTTGGAGCAAAACGGGCAGCTCTCACCCTTGACAATGATGTCCATGAAACGCGGCCGGAGGCTCATGACAAAAAAAGAGATCAAAGAAATCCCCTTGCCAAAGGCCGGAAACCATGACATGGTACCCAAACCTCAGACCCTCTCTCTGCCATGTCTGATCAGCCCTGCAGACTGCAGCCCTGCAAACCCCATTTTCCTCACCACTTTCACTGGATGGAGCGATACGTAGAGAGGTCATGGAGGCTTCTGGGGGGTTCACCCACACCACTCTTTTCTTTCGTCTGTTCAACAACCACTTGATTTGTTTTGAGGTTTACTCGCTGCTCAAGATCTTCACGGATCAAAATGTTTAGGAATTCACGTCAAAACGAGCTCAATCGCAAGTTCATTCACACTTCCAAAACAACCCACTGTGCCGGCTTCCACACTTAAAGCATCTTGAAACTCATTGTGAGCAAATCTGTACACCACTAAATTCCTGGGCACACGAGTCGACCCGGCGGACTCATCAAGTCGGAGGTGGTCGAACCCTCCACGACCCTCCAAGTCGACCAAAAAGGGTAACAAGATGTAATGTTTGTTTTGTTAAGCCACGGGGGACGCCAAGGTATGGTAGCTAGTAGAAGAGGTAAGCTACTAGCTACTTAAGCTCCTACCTAGCACACAGGATAGCTCATGCTTCTTCAAGAAAGCCCCCCGCCGCCCTAAAGGTGCTTCCTTGAAGAAGCGCTCGCACTAATGATTTGGTTCCTGGATTCTTAACATGTTGTACATGGAATGCTCAATTGTCTTTGTTTGCCTTTTCTATTTCATGCGGTTTCGAGGGTGTCCCGAGTCATGTTTCCAGGTTCCTGCTTTAGAGGTTCAGGTCATAGCCCTATATACTAGTCTGCTCGCAGGTGAACTGGTCATGGCCGAACATATGCGTCTTTGTGATGAGTAGGTTGGCAGCCCTGCCAGGAGGTTCTGGCCACCTGGGGGTTCTTGATATCCTCATGACTCATGGATGGAACAAGACCCAAGAACAAAAACAGGATTGCAATTGAGGGTGATGCAAGTGTTTTTCTTCTCTGGATCCCGCTTTAGGCTTGGTCACACCTCAGTTTCCAGTCTTACCCTCAAACAGGCCATTGGCAAGGACTTGAGTGAGTCGAATACTATTATGAGCTCTCCATGACAATCCTTCTAGGGCTCCGCCAAAGCCCATTCTCATCACCGACCCGGTGGCGAGCCACTGATGTATGCGGACGCAAAAGCCCCGATGAAGTCCATAATGGTCCGCAGGCTGGTAATGACAACCGCAATCAGGACCACGAGGCAGACCGTGCCCAAGGCGCATACAATGTCATACCAGCGTGTCAAGCTCAGCCCAAAGTAAACCACGTCCTAGATGTGGTTTTTCGTGTGGCTGTTGTGTGGGGGGGCTAAGTTCTCGAGCTAGCCAAGGCCTGGAAAATCTTTCAGGGCCGCAAAACTATGGAAGCAAAACGGAAGAACCTTGTCCTTGCAAATGGCCTTCAAGTACTTTCATTTCAATGCTATGTCAAATACAATGCAAACACACATACTGGTATACTGCATATTTAGATGTTCTGTGTGTACATATATATATATATATTTACAGTATGTATAAACAGGTTCTGAGGCTCGTATTCAGGTTGCTAGGTAAAAGCCTGTCACTTTGGCCTCTCCACTGGTTCCCTCAATAGTTTTGCAGTGCCTTTTGGGAGTCTTTTGCATTGGGTTTAAGAAGCTTAGGCCTTTGGGGAGAGCTTAGCCTAGTCCACTCACTTCGTGGTTTCGCACGCTTCGTAGTCCAATCTCTTTCTTCCATAAACTCTTCCTGCTGGGCGTGGTGAATGGTCTGGGGTTCACGTTCACTTGGTCTAGCTTTGGAGGGAGCCTATTTCCTCTGGCGAGTCATGCCAGTGACACCACTACGTCAATCGAAGGGTTCGACTGGAATTGCGCGACCCTTCCCGTTTTCCCCGTGTTCCTGTTCTCCACAGTGAACTCACCTAACCTGAGCCCAAGCCTCTTTCTCCTCGTCGTCGGAGCTGCGACCACGGGCCTTGCGCACCACATAAGCCAGGAACTGGCGGATGGGATAGATGTGGAATTGGAAACCTGGCGTTGATGTCATGAGCTGTCGCCATGCACGCAAATGTAGATGATTAGAAGCCCAGGCATGATTGCTTCACAAACATGTCATATCATGTCATATCCTGGCTTGCAATCAAGGCACTGACTCACCACCCCAAAGGGAAAAACAGAGACCCTACTCGGCCCTTCTGCTTACCCAAGACCAACCGGTTGCACTTCATGAAAGGAACCCGGAAGTTGTTGCTGCATGTTCCTCGAGCAAACTCCAAGTTGTTTGCTTGTGTTTGATTCATCCATAACCACCAATCCATGCCCACGGGACAGGTGAGAACGCTGAACATCACCGCCAGTAGGGAGATCAGCACATGGACCTCCTAAGGGCGCTGCAAACGGAGAGAGGAGAGAATCGTCTGCCACTCGAAGAGACGCCCAGCACCCATCCGACGTGTCTCTGTTTCGTTGTTTCATTGGCTCCTTGCGCACAGGCATCAAGTCCAAGATCAGGGAGTCCTTCGCAAGAATGCACCAAAGCAAAACAATACTCTCAGCCAGAGCCAATATCCAAACAAGTCATCGACAGTAGGATTCTCGTCTCCTTACGAGATCTGACCTGAACCGACCTCAGCTCCGCCTGTTGCGACTTGCAGAACCGAGACCGAGCCTTTTGGTTCCCTCCCACTCCGAAGGCCAGCACCCCCACGATGGAGACCGAGGCATAGAGGAAGAAGCCTCGGTGCTACTCGATGCTTTGGATCCCGTGCTTTTGATTGTCACCGGAACGTCTTTAAAGGCACAAATGGGCTGGGTGGCTCCTCGGCGATGAAAATGTCATCTCTCGCTCCCCTCCAGAAGGCGAGGATGATGTGACGATGTATATCGACTGCGCCAGGGGGATATGCTTGTTTGGGGAACTTGTTCTGAACGCTGAAGTTCTCCCCTTCGAATAATGTATCGGTGGTGCTTGTATCAAAATCGCTCTAGATTCTAGGGAAATTGCCAGGTGGTACAAGTGGTGCGTTCTTCATCGCCCAAGCTCCAAACTCCCAAGGCCCAAGAGAGGACCTTCTAGAATAGTAATACTAAAGTGGCCATTGAGTGATCTTGCCAGCTTCCTAACCTTCTAGGGTTGAAAAACAAGACTGATTCAGCAGGTCAAAATGCAACAAGCGCCAAAGTCTGCACTCAGACCCAGCACGTCCGAAGAACCCTTTGCCGGCATTGGACAAGCATTCCATATATTTGGGTGTCACTATGCATAGACTATGCACTTACCTCCAAAGTGTCAGCAGGGTACAGCGTCCTGCAGGCAGGACGCTGGCAGAAGTGCTCAAAACAGCCACCTGCAAGGCACTGGTTGGCAGATGACATGGCGCGGTCACACTCCAAGTCAGGCTGCCCAGCTGTTTGGTCTCTGTAAACATCACCTTTGTGGACTCAGGTTCTTGCACCAGGACCAGATGGCAAGGTGCACACCAAGCAGAGAATCTGGGGGTAAGCAGTAGCTGGAAGATTGTAGAGTTTTGGTGGTCTCCCAATCAATAAACACTCGCCAAGTGGAGAGAAGGGGGTTCTCTATCTCTATCCACTGACCTTTTCGGATACGTCGAACCTGTATGTGGGATTATCTAATTAATTATGATGTATGTCTCAAAGGAGTGAAACCTCCCAACCTCCCATCCGTGAAACGGAATAAACTATATACAGCCTTGGGCCCAGGGAGTCATGCAGGTCCATTTGCATTCCAATGGGCCGCACAGCCCTGATCAGCACCAAATATGTTGCGGATGAACATTGATCCTCAACAATGCCATTCGGATGTGGCCCAGTGGCCAGTGGGGACACCTTAGCCCCATGACACAAGGGAGAACATCACCCAAACATTTTTGATCTTCCACTTCATCAGCCCAAAGTTTCTGGTGAACTGGCTGTAAACCCAAAATGTCCTTATAGATACCACAGTATTATAGATAGATACTGTACTGATGTCAATGTCTCATCCGCTCCGACCGGAACTGCCACGCCTTCGTCATGCCCTGCCGGCTGGGCTCCGGCGTCAGCTCCCCCGTGAGCTGCGGAACGTTGAACCTGGGCGGCAAGTGGACAGTGGCCACAGTCACCCAAACCGCTGGCAGCCAGCCTTGGAAGCCCCTTTTGAACTGGTGGTTGATACGTCTTCGTAACCATGTGGATTGCAGGTGTGCGTCGCGGCTTCGAAATGCCAGATTTGTTTATTTGTTTGTTTGTGACACTGGCATCCGTTCCTACATGAGCTTTGGCGTCTTTTGAACGGCACGGTCTTGTGTTCTTGCAAATCTTTTGCACGTCGTTCGCCGCACCCGCGAACCGTTGGTCAGCTGAATGTTGGCTTCTGCACCTGCACTTACACTCCGTAAAAAGTAAGTGGCACAACCCTGATTTGGAAGAGAGCGCCATCTACCCACCAAAAAAGGAATTCCAGGCCACAACAAAAAATTACTATTGTGGCGGCAGGACGTGTCAGTGCCCAAAAATGATGCGCCATCCACTTACTTTCCAAAGGGAGTAAGTCTAAAGGGAGTAAGTCTACAGTGTGGAGCAAGCGCTTGAGGCGGAGTGTTCTTCAGTTCTCTTTCAGAGCGGGCGTTGAAAGGTGTAGATTCACTTCCGTTTACTGGGCGTTTTCATAGGCTTGTCTGTCTATTAATTGACAAACCTCTATGTTTTGAGATCCCATGGCCATCTGGGCCGACCAGCAGGGTTGAGCCACACCAGCGGGGTTGGGGAGGCGAAGCCCAGTGAGGTCGTGACTTCCATCTACAAAGCCTTTCTCTGTGCTTCCAGGAGGCTGGTTGCAGAATGCAAAGATCATGTTGTTGATGGCATTCATGTAGATGATAGGTGTGGCTCCACCTGGTAACACTTGATGTAGCACTCACTCTGACGAAATCGAATGACGCACCATGTGAAAGGGAGCAGTGTTTCTTCACAATATTTTTTTCATAAATCTAGTTCCTTCAGGGGATACATAACCTAGACATTGGTAAAGTTAAAGACTCGAAGAAATTTGATTAAAGCTCCACAAGCTAGTTTATACTCATGACACTCCAGACTCTTTTTCCATCTTTTTCCCAAGAAGATTTGCTATATAGGCTCCAGCGGGATGTAAGATGATGTAAGGCGGGGCATGTGGTTTTCCTGCAGCTTCAGGATCTGCTTGTCGTTTTGGGGTAGCTCTCGGCACGTGCATTTCAACTAATGCACCCTGCAAAGACATCAGTGCCTCATCCAAGACAGTCTGGACTATATGCCTAAAGTACGTTAAAGTACCTAAAGACCGAAAGCATCCTAAAGCCCGTTTGCCCCTTTGGGGCTGGGGACAGTTGAGTAGCGTGGGCTATCTGTCTGCCTGCACCCAAGAGGAAGTTCTCCACCGTGACGCTCTCGTCGGTGCCCTGATCACCTCAGACCGAGAGGGAGGAGTCATCGATCCGCACTATCGGCTGATCCTGATCTCTATAGTGAGTATGATTCGTTCCCTTGTTGCTAGTAGCTTCTTGTTACTAGTAGCGATGGCCTCCAACCTACTTGCGATGGCCTCTTCCGAGCATAGCGTCCTTGCTACTTGTCTCTGCAATCCGACCCCCCACAGCGTTCTCCCGGAAAAGCTTTCTCAAAGATCCCTCCTGGAGAGCGGATCGGCACCCGATGATCCATCCGCGGCTCTTCCGAGTTCACCGGGATGTTTTTGCAGCTCCGTCCGATCTCGGCAGATCGTTGAGCCCAGCAACCCCAGTACCAGGCCACGACGACGACCACGAAGATCAAGGCCACAATGCTCAAAAGAGCCAGGTGTCGCATGAAACCCACCTGGTTCAAGCAAGCCGAGGTTGCTCTGGACGAACCACTTTGCTCTGCCAAGAAACGATTTAAAAAGCAAACACTAAATTAGATGCGTGAAGAGGGTTTTCCGGTGAACTAGTCGATGGTCATTTACCAAAAGATTTGCAAGGAGAGACTTGAAAGGGTCACAAAAAGGCCATTCTTCTCCAGGCAGTTGCTTGCTCTGCCCGCGGCGAGGCCCGTGAAACCCGTGTGGTGGAGATAGGTGACCAACAGGCCGTTCACTTCATTTCCCTCTTTCGCCGAACGGATAGCCGAATCTGTCGTGGGAAGTCGATGAAACATGACGGAACAGGGAAACCATGATGAAACGGAACAGTCGATCTCATTTCCTTCATTTTGGGACCAACTTCTTCTGGTCCAAGGTGCATGCCGAGCCAAAGCCATTGGGCAACAAACAAAAATCCCCACCAAGACCTGAGCTGGTCGTGTTTCTGCGGCTGAGAATGGATGGCCTGATGAGCTGTGGGTCTGAACCACATCAAAGTCACCCGCCAATGACATGTTCCCTCATTGAATGAAGCACTTTGCAAAGAGCTTTGAGGTTGCAATTGGAGACTCAACAGCCAAACATCCTGATCCTAAATGGCAATGGGAACACGCAAGTCAAAGCTGTTTGGGCCATCAAGCCATCCCTGGGCCCTTCGAGTTCGCATGTTTCACCGGCCTTGGGGACTAGTTTGACACAGGGGACGCTACTAAGGGCTCCTGGCCTTACTACTAGCAACAAGAAGCTACTAGGTCCTTTTCACCGGCCTTGGGGAACCCGTCCACAGTTGACTTAACACTCTCCGTGGTTCCCAGCAGTACATCCAGCAAGACGACCCCCAGCGGTCACGCGCCCTTGCAAGCTCAGCAGCGACAAAGAGGTCCCGTGCGGAGCGGTTGGCTTGGAAGACCACCACAAAAACCTGACACTGCAGCTCCGCGGGGTCGCAGTGGTGAGCATGGTCCCCACGTTGTTGGGGATCTGTTTTCTGTCAGTCTTTTCAAGAGCCTTTGCAGTCGTTTCACTTTTCCTCCCTCGTTGAAGGCCCGTGTCGTTTATCCTCACCTGTCCGCAGACAATGAGGTATCCTGCGGCGGCACCCAAGCAATTGCAGACATTCATGAAGCCAGTGAAAAGGGACATCACCTCAGGACCAAAAAGGAAACCATCGGTTCCATGTGTGTAAAGCGCAAAACAGACAGATCATGATCAAGCGCAAAACTCCGAACATCTCGACTTTTTGAGCGGTATAGCGATCAGACAGTTGACCCCCCGATGTCCAGGTTCGGGTGTTGACCCAGACCCAAGCACGTGACCGAAGCAAGTTCAGGATTGGCCAGCCTAATTTCTTCGTCACGACCCCGTTTGGCTTTGTTCGCGTCCTCGAACACTGGCCTAGTCATCCACAAGTGCTTTGCAGTACCGTCTTCAAACTGAGGCGTTTGGTTCACTGACTCGATGTGTCGGTGTAGTCTATGTGTTATTTATATATATATATATATATGCCAGGAGCCCCTAGTAGCATCCTTGCTCCTAGTAGTGTGCATATATATATATATATATATTGTGACCGCAAGTGCAAGTGTTGTTGTTTCATGTGCACGTAAGTTGGAATGTTATCAACCATCACCCGAGCCTCAGTCTTTTCCGCGTAGCGCGTGCTGGTCCATCCTTTGTTGTCAGGTTGTCTTCATCCCGCACGTGGGCATTTCAAGCCTGCACTCGATGGTGCCCACAACTGCTTGGGAGGGATGTACTATCAGACGTACTATAGGCGGCTATGTTCCAGTTGCTTCCCTGGCACCGGGTGGAAGAGCTCCTCCGACACATCCTCGAAGCCCCACTTCTTCGTCTCGATGGAGGCCACTGAGATCATCCTGACCATCTCTCTACCACCAGGTTGTGAACCATCAAGGAAAAGGCGGGGAGAGAGACCGGAATGGCATACTGAAGGGTAAAGCACCTACAGGACTGGTTTGCCACTCCAGCTGTTTATGAAGAAAACGCATCGCATGTTCCAGCAAGCTCACAGTGAACCTCCAAATTATGTGTAAATAAAACAAACTATCTTTCTTTACAAGCGTCCGAGTGCACCCAACACACTGCGGATACCAGCCACTCCGCTCTCTCTCACCAAACCCTCGTGGCCCTAGTGGCCTTCCGAACTCTCAAGTCAGAACAGCTTGATTTTGATGCCCGCGTTTTCTCAAGAAGTTCAGGTGCCCGCAACCCCCCAAACCAAAATGAGCCAACTGTTTCATTGCCTATGAACGATGATCGACCAAACCCCAAAAAGAATGAAAACTGGGGCGCTCGCAAAAGAAGGGAACCACGGACCGTCAAGATCGAGCACCCAGTCGACTTCTTGAGAGACGGAGGAAAACAAAGGAAAGGGTCAGACATGTGGAGGACATCGACCAGAAGATCCACTGCATTCACTAGTCCTCTTTCACAGGTATATAACTCCGACCCCCATGTTTGGTGTGCTCATCCCGTCGATCCCCCCGTTTGCGGCGACTCTCGGCAGAGCATCCGGATGCTCATCACGGTCAGAAGGCCACCAAACCTCAGCCACTCAAACTCAACCCTGCACCTGTGCAAGTGGTGTGGGTCAGGTGGCAAACTAGAGAAGAACAAGAAAAACATAGAGAAACATGGGATTCTTGGTTTGTTGGTTGCCCTAAATGGAGCATCACTAAGCCAACAATCTCTCCAAACAGCAGAGTTCGGGGTTTGGGTTCGTCTTTGTTGTTCAACAAAATGGATGCTCAGTAATTAATATGATGGTGTCAAGTGATTCGCGATGTTGGGGTATTAAAGCAGTGCCCGAACAGAAGTATTCCGACTGCACATAGGAGGACGACCTGCACCAGAATTTGATGTATTTGCTTGGGAGCGAAACGGTGGGTCCGACCACATTGGCAAGGCAAGTACTTTCCTTTTGGTAACTGTTTTGTGGTGCATTGTTCAATCTGCATTCGTGATGTTCGATGAGCTTGAAGCCTTTCAAATCTACAGATGGTCTTCTCCTGCGCGTTGAGCATTTGGCGCGCTTTCCAATTTTGGTGCCACTGCGCATGTCAGGGATGAGGTTCACACCGTAGGCACGTGCCCGGCGAAAAGGCCAAAGAGCTCAACGGTGAGGACATGTCTACGTGGCAAATTTCGGTGTACTGCTTTTGGAGCATGTCAAACTTGGCAGCCATGCGCGCCCACGACCAGGCGGTGAGCTGTCCGCAGTCTCCAGGGCTTCGTGCCCAACCTTCTAGAAAGACTCGCTGCAGTCCAAGTCTGCTTCAATGGTCTGGCCAAATCATTCACCGTACGAATCGGGCGACCCCACAAAACAACACCAAACATGTTCAAACGTGTTCAGTGCATGTCCAAGATGGGCAGATGGGATCGGGTGGTGCTTGCTGCCGCACAAAAATGGCAGCAGGACTGTTGCCACCCAAGGTGGCAAGGTGGATGTCCACTACTTGGGGCTTTTCAGCCCTTCTTCGTTGGACTTACAGGTCCCTTTGCTGACTTTGACCCCATCAGTTGAACTTCTTTTGTGGATGGTCTCGAGAGCCTGAACGAAACATTTTGTCAGACTACTCAGGGTCTTGAGTAAGAGCACGAGCAGTTCAACTGGCAAAGCAACAGACTCGGCTTCTGGCGTGGGTGCCCCATGTTCCTTGTGGACTTCTACAATCGCTGTCCGTGCTTCCAGCTTCAAGCCACACGTTGGCGGATCTTTCCTTCCTTTTTGTGGACATGAACAAAGGTTCGGAGACCAGCAAGGCCAAGAGTTCTCCAACCAAATCAAGTCGGAACAGTTACAGTGCATTGTACATATATTCTTAGAAGATCCAGAATGGCCAAGTCACCTCCTCCTAAGTATGAACAGAACCCCTCCCTCAAGCCCAAGCGCCCCGAAATTTTGACCTCCAAGCAACAGGAGGCATGCCACCTGCCACACGACGCCCACCTCCGCCGCGTGCCCCGACACCGAGAGCACCCCAGCGCCGATGGCGGCCTTGCTCAGGCAGATCGCGGTGGGAATCACGCCGCCCCGGCGGAAGGAGCCCTTGCGCTGGAGCTTCCTGGGAGCGCTTGAGGCGAAGAGGAACATCAGCACAGCTTGGGGTGTCAAACCAAACGAGAGCAAACCTAGACATGGGCTCCACCAGACCTAGCATTCTTGAAGAAGATTCATCTTCAGGTCATTCATTCAGGTCTCACACTCCCCAAAGTCGACCTTCATCCCCGGAATCCGGGTGGCTCTGATGCTTTGATGGGCGAGTCGGTGGTGGATGCCTCGCTCACAGAGCTCTCCAAGTCGACGGAAACGGCCTGGCCGTGAATCCGTCCCGAACACGTCCCGCGGAACCCCGCGGAAATGTGCGCAGCCGGGGCCAAGTTGGAAGATCCGATGATCGAAGAAATGAAAAGATTCAGGGACAGTACCAGTACTCTTCGGAGGTGTTCCACGAGAGGACAACAAACCCCGCAGGCTGGATAGAACAATTAAACCAAACCGACTTCCTGCAACAAAGATTGCAGTCATCCTTTTCGAGGATATCGTGGTTCATGAATCGAAAGAAACAACAGGGGCAGGTGACAAATACTACAGGTCAATTCAATTAGAGAAGAAGACCTACGGCTGAAAAAATGAAGGTGTCACTGTTCCACCCTGCCAAGTTCATTGCAGAGATTGTATAAACGATCAAACAAAAAATGGTCCCTGCGTGCGGGGACCATGCCTTTGTCTCGAGGGCCATCTTCCTGCTGTGGCAAGCTATTCACTGCACAAAATTTGGGCTCTTGAGATCAAAGGCTGAGCGGAAGCCATGCGAGTCAACATGCCCACCGAAAGATATGATGGAAACCATTCAGCCCAAATTGGTCCATGCCAGGCTGGTTGGTTGCAGTTCTGACCCCTTGGTTTTTGTTTTTAAGCTGAGACCCCAACTACTGTCATCGATTTGTTTTCATCTTCTTTTCCGGCTACCATATGTGTGCATGTGCGTGTGAAAGGTGCCCATGCTTTGGAAACTGGCAGTACGTAAGAAGATGTTGAATGCGCTTACTATCAGCTCTGGTGACTCCGACGGATATATCTGTTTTTTTCCGCTCTCCACTGATCTTGGATATCTTGGCCTAACTACTTGGTCAAAAGAATACTTTGAAACATGATGGCCTTCTAAAGGTGGTCTGCTTCTTTTCTCGTTTGGCGCCTTGATGTCCTCGTGTCCAGGGATCTTCTGCAACTTCTGGTAATACCTCGCGCCCGGCAGCATGGACCGGAGACCTGGGTGCTTGGTGTGGGAAACATCTCTTCACCCGTCTTAGAACATATCCGCCAACCCAAGGCTAAGGCTGGGAGAACCCATCTGAGAGTACACCTGTGAGAGCACACGCAAATCAATAGGTGTCTAAAATTCTAGAGGTCTAAGAAGATCTAATGGCTGAAGTCCAAAGATCTACAGTAATGGCCTAGAGGTCTGAAATCCAGAAATGTCTTGAGATTGAGAGATCTAGAGTTCTGGAGGCCCAGAGATGCCAAGAGCTCTACGTCTAGAGCTACAGGCTTCAGAAAGATCTAAAGGCCTGGATATCGAGAGATCTAAAGGTCTAGAGCGACACTTGATATACGCAGCTCGTGTAATGCATCATTGGTCCTTAGGATCTTTGATCACAATCCAGCAACCACGCCGTGTATAGACCCCGTCTGCAGCATGTCATTCAATGCGTCCAAGTTGTCTTGCCAATAGGACTTTGAAACTCAACGATCATGTCGCAACAGAGCGGTGACTGCGCATACTCTTTATCGGCGCCGTTCCAGGCGAGCTCATGCGGCATTGCGCTGATCGAGGGGGCTCTCCAAAACCAAACTTCGTCGCTCAGGTAGAACCAGCTTTGGTTCACCTTCGGGCAGGTGTAGCCTAAGGCACGTTGGGTCCATGCACGGCGAACACAATGCGCCAGGCGTTCAAAGCCCCATTCCTCCAACAGTCGCAATTGCGCTTGAGGCTTTGGCTCCTAACCGCCTGCGATTTTGTACAGTGTCTTTTGGGTCCCGAATGCAAAAACAAATACAGTATACACGAGTAGTACAGTAAATACCGTGTATTTTGCAGAGTTTCCTCACCTGGGCGTGCGCGCCAGAAACATGCTGTAGAAGGGGTCTTTTTTGGCGCACGCGCGGGCGCAAGGCAACAAGACCAATGACCCAACAATAGCAGCAACAACAACAACAACAACAGGGAAAACGACAACAATCCTTATGGCATCGCCAGTTGCGAAGCTCTACAATAGCCGCATGAGCAGGTAGAGAATCGCCCAATTATGAGAGGCCTTCTCCTAAACAACCATCGTTCCCAATGGGCCTTCCAAGAAAAAGGTTGAAAAACCCTAAAAACGGACATCCTAACCTATGGAGGGTATGGGCAGCTAGAAAAGCACTGATTGTTCGATACAAAACGTCAAGACCGGTCACACTACCACTGATCTGGCTGCAGCCCTCGTGTGTTCAGCCGCCCCTGTCTGCACCCGGTCAAACTCCCAGTCGACTCTCACAGGCCTCTTCCCGTGGTTCACACCTGCCAAGCTCCCCCAAAAAGGCCAGGCAAGTTCACCCTCATGTCTCAGCAATTTCATATGTTTTCTGTGCTTTGGCTCTATTTTGCTCAGCTGATACCGGTGATGACTACATGGAAGCCCGTATCATAATCACATGTATAATATACAGTATATAAATGCGTCTCGGAAAAGAGTTGAACCGCTGGGGTCCATGATGCTTCCAGTAAGCAATCTTGACTCCTGACTACATGAAACTGTCTAAAAGGGCTTTAAACACACAGAACAACAAAGCGGAACAACCGCCCTTTCAGAGCAGAATTCGTGGAACCCAGGGGTTCATGTGTCACTTCTATTATATATCAACAAAGGCGGGCTTAGAAGCGAGCGGCGAGAAGCTCGATCTTGGGCACACCAAACATCAAACCCCCCGACCCTCGCACCGGAGGCTTTGGCCAGTGACCCGGACCTCACCAGGCCCCCGACAGCTGACGAGGGGTGGCCTTTGTCGGCATAGTCGCCCACCAAGGTCTGGATGCCAATATCATCCGTCTTGGACTGGCTGGTCCTGGGAAACCCGCTGGTCGGAGACTCCCAAGGATCTCTGCATCGAAAAGGGATGCAAAAAAACCTGAGTGGGGAGAAAATCGTCGGACTGGGCCAGTAAAAAAGGATGGAACACTTGGATTTCTGAGAGATATTGGATGATATCGGCCATCCTCAAGTTTTGGGGTAAAACGGTAAAACGTGTCTTCACTTGGACGCTGTACTTGTCGGACCGGTTTCTCATACTTGGGCGCCCGGCACGCTGTACTTCGGCGCATCTTTGCCGGTGGCCTCAGGGAGTGGTGCCACACCGCGTCCTTTTGGAAGGTCAGTGATTGTTCGGCGGGAGGTCGACTGACCACCTCACCAATTCTTGCACATTTGGAAGTATAGATTGCTATACCAATGACACATAAGGATTTCCGTACACACGGGCATGGGTCTTCGACCCATGTACTTCGTGAGCCGACTCGGAGCCAAACAATGTATGCAGTGAGCTCCTTCCCAACTTGCCTCAAAAAATTACACTTTTCCTCCTCTGCCAGGCCATTTTGGGGTTGGTCAAGAAGCTACTAGGAACAAGTGCATCGCTTCTAGTAACAGGTGCCTTACTAGTAGTAACAAGAAGCTACTAGGAGCTTTGTCTTCAACAAGGGATTGTACACGTTTATGGGCCCCCTACTTCCCATGAGGATGGATCTGTCTGGAGATTAACCTTGTCACCTTGTCAAATGAAATTGCATGGGTGACACTCGTTTAGTGGTGCGAAGGCAGTTGGAAGATGTCACGCCATTCTCTGTCCGTTCATTGCCAGGCAGAGAAAAACCAGGCTGGTTGTGAGGAACCCGCCTGTTGCTGTCTATATATCACCATTACCAACTCACTGAAACCGTGTACATAATGTATATATATATATATATTTGTGTTTTTCTTGTAACTTTTGACTGTTCAAGTATGTTCTTCTCCCAGTGCATTGGCAGGAAGAGATGTTCAGCCAATCCCCAGTCCAGTCTCTCCGGTCGAAACCCAGAAAATCGTGATTGTTACGACTGATGGTGTACTTGTCTCCCAAACGGATGCACAAAGCGACACTCTGTAAAAAGTCACCACCACAGCTCTTTATCCAAAGAATGCCACCAGGCTAAACTCAACAACCTGCTTTATGTCAAAGAACATCAACAACTGAACGTTCCAGACCTTTTCTCAGCACGCCGAGCAGCTGTCGCTGGGACTGGGGGCTTCTTGATGACGCCTTCGATCAAAGGTGATGCGGCGTTCGCGGGTGCAGCGTGCGCGGGTGCGGCTCCGGCGGAGCGGGGAGACTACTGAAGGAAGTTGATGCCAGGAAACACCGACGGCAAGCTTTTTCTGTTCAACTGCCAACTGAGTTTCATGTTGCTTCCTATGTGCATGTTTGCGAGCCCACATAGACACCAGGTGTCAGGGTGGACATGGCTGTGGGTCATGGCACCCGGACCCTCGCAGAGTATTCTGTTCATTTGTCGGTGGTAAACTAGGGCCCCCAGTTTTGACCCGTAGCCACATGTGCAGATGGGCGACAAAACAAGGAAAAGCAATCCTGGAGGAAAATCATAACTATACAACATGAGCTTCGATGGGTTGGGAGCGACGGATTCCGGTCAAAACATCTGGAGAGCCCGCTGGCGAGGTGGGCAAAAACACCTTTTTCATCCCTGCAACCGAAAGCTTCGCCACAACGTCACAGCTCTACAAATCGCTTTGACCGCTACGACATACTTTCCCTTCGAAACTTTCAGTGGTCCCTTCGGATCTTTCCTTCCCGAGATCGCGCCCCCTTGGGTCGTATCACCAGTGCCTGCCACTTCTCCTGCGAACGGAGGCATCGTTGTCACTCCAAAACAGAATGTGACGCCAGGGGCGCCAGGGACGCCCAACTACTGTTGCTCCTAGTAAGGCCAGGAGCCCCTAGTAGCGTCCTTGCTCCTAGTAGCGATGCCAGGAGCCAATGTGACGCCAGGGGCGCCATGGGCCCAACTACTGAATGATCAAGACAAGGTCTCAAATAAATGGCATCAGGGCCGGTGATTGATGTAACGAATTCCAAACAAGCCCCTGGCCAAGTTTGGTCACGCTGAGCAGAGCCCCCATGCGCTGGAAATGTCGTTTAGCCCCTGTCGCTCCATCCAAGCTGACTCAACATGAAACGATCACACCTTTTGTGGGTGCAAAACCACAGATCCCTCCACATCCTTTCAGAAACGGCGCAGGCTACGTACAGTGCATCCCACCGCCCCACCAAAAACGCCTGGCTTCTTTACTGCGGCTGCTTGCCTGTGGCGGCTGCACCAATGAGTGAGAGGGTGGGATGACCAGCCCGACTGGCCCGGTTGGACCAGAACCGACATGCTGGCTGCTGGACACCTGACATGTCCACTTGATCACCTCATGGAATGGTAGTGGTGCTTCCCTAGTCTTCAATCAAACCGACATTCAGGAGCAAAGTGGTACCAGATTACCACAGGTTCGTTAGACTTCAGGGGATCAAGCATTTCCATGAGCATGCTGCGATGTATTGATGTTCTGTTCGGCCATTGGACTTGTCGCTGGCCTGTGACGATGAAGCTTGGTGTCCCTGTACGAAGAAACTCCAAGGATCCCTCGTTTACGTTCGTAGCTTCTTGTTACTAGTAGCGATGCCAGGAGCCCCTAGTAGCGTCCTTGCTCCTAGTAGTAAGGCCAGGAGCCCCTAGTAGCTTCTTGTTACTAGTAGCGATGGCCTCCAACCTACTTGCGATGGCCTCCACCTAATAGCATCCAGAATTGGGATGGGCTCAAAAGGGTCCCCAAAATTAGATGTCCGCGCAGGAAAAGCGCCCCGAAAACTTGCTGCTCTGGGGGTTATGGCCTCATTGCAATGAAATGGGTGAGTTGATAATGATAGATCACACAACAAACAGGACCTTTATCTGAGAAGCGCAGCTTTTGCTTTTGTAGGTACAAACCTTGTTGGAAAGGAAACGTATGCAATGCCAAAATGTCAAAACCCCTTCCAAGGTTCCCTGGCAAGAGGGCTATCAAGAGGTTTCCAGCCCAAGCCCCCATTGAGGCCACAGGCTGTCCGGGTCTTGCTGCTACCTGGCAGCAGATTGAACGAGGCTTTATTTTGTAGCGTCCTTGCTCCTACTATCGATGCCAGGAGCCCCTAATAGCGTCTTGCTCCTAGTAGCGTGTCAAGAATCCAAATTTTGGAAGTGGGCGACTTCAGCACCTCTTTGAAGCCTGTTGCTGGTTGCCTTGGAAACTTGCAACGACACTCAGTCGAGAAAGGAGACTTTGTGAACCTACCCAAAGGAAAACTGATTTTGGTAGCATTCGTGTCCCACATGGGATGGAGTCCAGGAATCCATCTTGTATATAGATTTGATGTACAGTCACATAGCGGATTGTAGTCAAGTTGCTGGCGGAGTGCTTCGTTGGCGTTACCTCTCAAAACAAGTCACACACATCTACCGAACCAGCATTAGGTCCCAGAAGGGTGGCCTTGCCCCCATCATGCAATTGTCCGCCTGCAGGGTTCCCATGTGCTGTTTTTAAATCATGACTCTCCTCAAAGTAAGAACCGAGAAGAAATGTTGGAGGCCATCGCAAGTAGGTTGGAGGCCATCGCTATTAGATTCCTTATGAACCTATTATATACAAATATATAAATATACTAAGCATTAATAGGCAAAGTTACAATAGTTCATGGCTGGTTGAGAATGGCCTCGGGGACCTCACAAATTCTATCGGGGGGATGAGCCCTACAAATCCAATTTCTTTGGGGGAGAGCTGCAGATGCAAATCATTGGCAAATCCAACAGACCAAACTCTGGCCATCTGCACAGACCTGGTGTTCATCTGGTCCATTCTGAGTCCATTCTCCACTGGTCCTCACAGGGCCCTGAAACACCGCAGGAAATCCGTCACCCCAAGCGAGCCAGGGCCCACGGGGCGGGGACCTGACGAGTCACACCAAGGCGGCCGACTCGAAACAAAGGAATGAGGGTGGCTGGATCCTGATTCCCTTGGAAAAGCACCACTCAGGCAAGCAAAACGAGGGTGGCAAGAAGCTACTAGTAGCTCCTGGCATTACTAGGAACAAGAAGCTACTAGTGACAAGGTGCATCGCTTTGGGCTCTTTTGGCTCTTTTGTCTCCACATCACCAACATGGACCGTGAAGCGAAAAAGGACCATGCTGTATTCAAGCCGCGCGTCAGGGGTCCCGGCGCCCGCTTTCGGACAAGTGAAGTCAAAAACACACAAAATGGTCAAAACATGTCAAAAACGTCCATCACTTTAAAGCCAACAAATATCATCTTCGGCTGGTGATCACATCTTAGGGTGGTGCAGAAGAACTTGTCTGTCCGGGAGGGAGGGAGGGAGGGGAGGGAAGGAGGGAGGGAGGGAGGGGAGAAGTGGTGATGTCCTCCACCGCCCGGCAATCGGATTTGCACTTTCCCGGCCCAGATCGGATTGGCAAAGGCCCTGGAGTAAAATCCTCTGAAAAAAGATATGTGAGTTAATTCTTTCACCGAGGCTTGTGAGTTAACTTTTTCTGGTAGAAATGGTCACCACTGGGATGGCCAAATCCCCTCAAATCAATATGTCACAATTTCCGTGTAGGGGAAACCGACTGGACATTTATCCAAACTGGGAGAGGCGAAAGGTCATGAAATGCTCATTGGTCGAAAGGAACTCCCAATGATACCCGTCGGCCACACAGAGCTCCCGTTCAACGCCCACACGCAGCATATCGGCGCGGCGTCTTTTTCCGTTTTGACGGCGCGTTTCAAATCGAGCTCTGCCCAGGCGTCACGAAGGTGTGCGCTAATCATTGTTCGATAAACTGCTTCAACCGGCGCTATGACTGTTCAACTAGGTCAACTCTCTTGATTCTAGTGTTTGGTGTCAGCGTCAACGGCTCTTTGCCTAATTGTTTTCCAGCTTGCCTTGCTGGTGTTGAACATGCACAAACTGTATTGTGGCATTTCGTTTCAAGAAAAAAGACAAACACGCACAAGCACCCAAGGCACCCCAAGAAACCCTCTGCTCTCCAAATCTGTCCGTTCGGCACACCAAGCGTTCCGCCAAGGCTTTGGGCCCAAGTTCTTCAGAGAGCAGTGGAAGGCCTATAGGCCCATATTCAATCATGTTCATCCCAAGACTCAGCTGGCGAGCCGGTTTTGGAACCAACATACTGTGGGAGACTCCTTTACCAATTTGCAATAAGAGGTTCTAACAAAGGCATCCAAATCTCCATCTGCTCCCCCTAATGGGGCCCCAAGGGGCCCGGCTTGATAAACGTGGGCTCAAAATCGGCGGGGGTGGCTTTACTCTCTGCGGCGAAGAACGCCGGAGCCTCACTTTCAGCCCGGCGGCCGCTCACATCACATTTGTAGACCGTGCCTTGTTTTTTTTTCTTCGCCGTTTACCTCAGTGAATGGGCAAGATACACCGAATTGCAAAGTCAGATGTATAATGTATACAAGACATTCGAAGAGATTCCATCAAAATGAGTAACAAGGGCATTATTACTAGTAACAAGAAGCTACTAGTAGCGATGCCCTTGTTTCTAGTAGCTTCTAGCTACTAGTGGTATTGTATTTAATGCCCTTGTTCCAATTGTGAAGATCTCGGTGTGTGACCGTATGACCACGAGCCTTTCCCACTGCAAGTCGCTGACCCCTCGCATGTCTGGCCCAAGCTGGTCTCGGGCCTGTGAGTGTTCAATCTCCGTCCGTCCTGACCATAGCCAGGTCGCTTGCAGCACTCCAAGTAGCAAATCACGCAAGCCTTAGTGACACCAACCATCCCAGTGGAAATGAAGCCTGAAGGGAGAAATGAAAAAGAAAATCTTAGACCGTAGATGGAGAATATCCCAAGGTTTACTCCAAGATTTACAGGGTCTGGTTCCTTCAGGTGCTAGATCTATTCTGTGAAGAGAAGGATGGGTGCACATTCCTTCGTCCATCTACACATTCACGGTCTTCAGGCCTCAAAGCATTGCGAGGCAGCCCTAAGGATCTAGGGCCAATGGCTCTATGTTTGGCTTGGGGGAACAAGAGCTCCGGATGTGTTCGCGCACTCAACAGCGGGCATGATACCTGGCCATTCAATCTTAGATATTCCGACCTCCCACTAAGCCCGGGTACTTGGCTCCATATTTACAATATAATGCAAACAGGTCTATCGCAGGCACCACAGCTGTTTTGCTTTTCACTGATGGAACTGGGTCCGATGTGACTCCCATGGCCCACCGCGAGGGAAGAGACACCCACCAAACTTCGCTCGCTGAGTACGGGGCCACAATCATGAAGATCAGCGCCAGGCACTCCGCGGTGGCGCCAGTGGCAAGGTAGGGGTTCTCCACGGCGTTCAAGTCGATCTGCGGCGAAGCGCGACGAGAAGCAACGTGGGCGAATCAAAGACGATGTTTGAAAGCCACTGAGAGGCGGTAGTGACGGACTGGAAATCGGGGACAAGATTGGCGCTTCAAGAATCCATCTACATGTCAGATTTCATCCCAAACGTGGTAACTGTGAGCACCTCACCCTGTTTGCAAGAAAAGGAATCCAAAGCCTCGAGGCCCTCAAAGGCCAAATTCAGAATCCCAAAGTGCCCATCTAACCATTGCATGCACCACCCCGTGCTTTTGGACATCATGTACCATCATGTACCCAGTGGTCATGATGGGAACCCGGCCCACTTCATAGCTCCGGCCTCTTTGGCCCTCACGGTCTCCAATGGAGCGGCCTGAAATGCAGCAAATTGGAGCTTGGGCGAGAATCGGAACCACTCGAGCCCGCACGAAGCGGAAATTCTACGCATTTCCTGGTGAGATAACTCCACGTGGAATCGCTCCAGGTGCCAAGTTCAAACTGAGTTGAACACACAGCCCAGCGCAACCTCAAGGGCATTACACCATCCAAAAGTCGGACTGAGGCAACCTTCTAGATACCCTTGTGAGATCTCTTCGCGTGGTGCCAGGGGGCCTGCAAAAAAGGTATACATATATATATATATATATGCATATATATACACACGTGTGTGTATTCATATAAGAGACAAACATTTCCTGGCAGGGGAATGGATTTGTAAGGCTATCTGAGGGATGGCCAGAATTAGTTCTTCCTGCAAAGCACATGAGGTTTTTTTCCTGAGTCCCTGTCTAGATTTGTGGCCAACCTCCATGTCTCTCATCTGGTAAAGGCCACGATGGTGATTTGGCCACGCAATGGCTCACCGAGCTAATCTAACTGGTGCATCCCACTCCATCGCCTGTACGGCTTGAAAAGATCAGTTCCCCTGCAGGAGTTCCGAACCAATGAACCTCGTAGCGATGGTCTCCAAATTAGAAACAAGTGCCCTACTACTAGTAACAAGTGCCTTACTAGTAGTAACAAGAAGCTATTAATTTAAACATAATTCTAATAGCTTTTTGTTACTACTAGTAAGGCACCTGTTACTACTAGCGTGGCACTTGTTACTACGTTCCGAACCAATGAACCTAGTAGCGATGGTCTCCAAATGTACCATCCCACCGTCGCACGGCACCTCTGCGGCAGGCGGCTCTGGAACCGCATCGCTCTGCTTCGTGGCCTCGAGGGTGCCGTGAGCGACACCAAGCCGTGCCAGTTGGAACGACAAACAGTCGCTCTGATGCTCCGCGTTTGTTCGGACTCCAGGACTCCAAAAAGGAAGAACTGCCAGAATTGTTGCCTTAAAGCGTAGGGAAAACGCAGGGACGGGTGCTTGAGGTCTTGGACCATCCTGATGGTCTTGCAAGGCGGACCAGGAAGCTCCCGCAGAGGTTCTTCACTCCAAATCGCTGCTTCAACGCAATGGCCCAGAAAAACACAAGAAAGAGCTGTCAACCCTGGACAATCACACAATGTGAAGTTGCCAAACTGCTCACCACAATTCCATGACCTGGATGACAGCTTGGTCGTCCACTCGCCGGCCCTCACTACATCTACCTACCTTCAGATTGCAATAGACACAATGACACAATGGCATCAACAGTGTACGGAGAAAACCCGAGAAACGGAAGAGGCAAGAACACTTATATACTCGAGGAAATCCCAAAGGAGTGCCGAAACGTAAACCATGCCCAGAATACCACTGAAAGGATGATTGTTCATCTCTTCCTTGAGGGGCATCTCTTTCCCAGTTCAACCAATACATCATTGTATTGGTCTTTGCCCAATCCAAAGTCCATCGTTCCATGGTTGGGTGACATAGGATACAGTATATCATGTACCCAAATGGCACCGAGTGCCCCGGGTGCGCCGTACGGCATTGATCTCTGAGGCCCCCAACCACTGGCTCCACTTGGTCCTGGACTTTCAGGAACTCCTGGCATGACCGAGTCGAGGGTCGCAAACCGAGTCGAGGTGGACTCTTCCTACGATGCCTCATCTCAAAGGAACAAGATCTTGGATATGTCCAATAATTGCAGCGAATAGACGCTGTTAAAGGGACTATTTGCCCCACTCGTGGGATGTTGTGCAAACGAATAGCATCAATCAAGATGTCCAAATACATGCTCGATATCACTTCACTGAAGTCTATCTATTCTGGAGTCACCCGAACTTGAAGGCATTCAAGCTGACGGCCCTCTTCTGCCAGGCCCTTCCCCGAACTTCACCTCCCCCACGCCCCACCTGCGAGTCGGACTGGGCCAAGAGGAGGACCAGGGCAGCAATCACGAAGCGGAACATCTCAGCGTTTCGCCTCGGGCGCCCGACGAATCGCCTCGTCTGCTTTCGGCCCAACACCCGACGCCCCACGCTCGTCTCGAGTGTGCGATCGAAGCCGATCAAAGTGTCGAAGTGTTCGATCTGCATTGGGATCTCGTCGTGGAGAAGCTCCTCCCTATAGAATCTATAGAACCCAGTCGCGTGCACAGCAGAGACCTCCTCTTCACCAAACCCAGGCCCGGACATCCCCACACTTGGTGCCCGCACCGATGCGTGGATCGCTACACTCAGATCAGTGGGGTGGTTGAGCCCAAAAACTGCAGATGCAAAAGGACAGCTGACTCGCAAAGGACGGCAACTCGCGTGGACATTAACTGACAAAACGCCTGTGAACCCCTGAAACCCAGCAACATCTTGAGATGTCATACAAACATAGGTGTGGTTGTGTCTTTGGCTTCGGAACGCTTTAAGCGCCTTTACTCAATATAGGGTCTCTTTCGTATAAACAATTGTCCCCTAGGTTTTCCGGAACTCAGTTCTCACAGTTCTCATTCTTGAATCCGCAATCCATGGTCATCACCATACCTCATCATCTTGAAGGGGTTCTGCACCGTAGAATCTTCCTCCTGGTTCTTCGATAGTCACACCTTCAATCCAGTGGGCTTCTATGGCACTCACAAAACCCATCTGCATTCACTGTAGTCAGGACGGTACCCTGATCGCTCAACCACAGCTAAGAAGAGTCTATACTATTACAACACTCACTGTTGCCATCAATTTGTTATACCGTAATTATAGTTGGTTTCTTTTGATAAAAGTTGAAGTAGAATATCGAAGTTTTCCAGGTGGCAAAATAGAAGAAAGTGGATCCCTGATCCCAAATTCTGTCAAGCCATCAAACATGAACCCCAAAATCTGTCAGACAAATTCATCGACCGACCAGCGATCAGTAGCCGTCTCACTATGGCGTCAACGTCCCCCGGCCTCCGGTCGAGTTCGGTGCCCGAATCCCAGCCGTTGGTGCCTCCGGCTTAGTAAGCCGTTAGCCGGAGCAGCGGCTCTGTACGGCTCTGTGCGGCTCTGAAGGTGGTCCAAAAAAAGGGTCATGTAGACTATGAATTTTACAATCCAATTTTTGGGGCGGGCTATTAATCAACAGTCTACATGTCTATGTACATTCATTGGTCTTCCTCCAGAAAACGGGCGACGCCGAGATGAGTCCAAGTCGTGAACGTGCTGTGCTGGTGGAGATCCTTCGGGAAATGCAATAAAATGATGCGGTACTAGTATGTTTCTGACTTTCTTGGACGGCACAGCCAGCGCGCCGACAACAGATCGCATAGGCTTCGAACCCACAATTGATGCGAAATCCTGAACCAACCTCTTTTTGGAATGCTTTATGGGTCCTATTGGGTTGCAAACAGAGTATGTAGCCGACCCAAAAGCCTTGGCTTGGAAGGAAGAAAGCTTTTCTACTTGAGAGGCGCTCCTTCGTGTCGAAAAACAGTGGGACAATACCAGATCCATTCTAGTGCACGAGTGCTTGAGGGACCGAACCAGCTCAAATCATCCAAACAAGCTTCTGGTCACCCCCAACAATGTGACAGTGTCCTGCATTTGCACCAGGTCTCTCTCGTGTCCCACACATCCTTTACTGGTTTGGCATGAGTCGGAGAGTCGGAGGGCAAACAGTATAAAGTCTGCACCTAATGCCAACCACGCCAAAGTCATCT